TCTAACCCCGCTGACCCTACAGGTTTTTGGGAGAAGCTCGAGTTCCCCTACGGGATGTGCTGTCCTCACCCAGCCTGGCAGCATCCTATGATGTCCCGTTGTTGGATAACAAGAAGCAGAACACTGGGGTGAGGGACCATATGGGGATGGGGGTGGGGTGGGGATTCAGTGGGGTGGGGGTGTGGTAGTGGGGTGGGGGCACAATGGGATGGGGACTCAATGGGATGGGGACACGATGGGATGGGGGTATGGCAATGGGATGGGGACCATGGCAATGGCATGGGGATGTGACGATGAAATGGAGATGTGGCAATGGGATGAGGACACAGTGGGATGGGGACATGGCAAAGAAATGGGGTATGGCAGTGGGATGGGGACACAGTGGGATGGGGACATGGCAAAAAAATGGAGACATGATGGGATGGGGGTATGACACAAGGATGGAAACCCATTGGGATGGGGATGTGTCAGTAGGACAGGAACATGGCACAGGGATGGGGATGCAGTAGTGAAATAGGGTCATGGCAGTGGGATGGGGGCACAGTGGGATGGGGATATGGTAATGAAGTTTGGACACAACGGGATGGGGATGCAATGGGGTGGGGATGGGGCAATGGGGTGGGGATGGGGCAGTGAAATGGGGACACAGTGGGATGGGGGCACGGCAGTGGGATGAGGACATTGCATTGAGATGGGGGCACAGTGGGAAGAGGACTTGGCGATGGGATGGGGACATGGTGATGAAGTGGGGACACGGCAGTGGGGTGGGGATGTGTGACGACTCTCCCCATTTCCCCAGGCTTCCCTCATCCTGCAGGTCTCCTACACCCCTCCCCCGGGCGCTGCCCCCCTATTCCCTCCCCCAGCCCCCCCTGAGGCAGCCCCGGCGGCGGTGGCGGAGCCCGACACGCTCACTGGTAATGCGGGGGCTGCACGGGGGGACGCGTCCCCCATAGCCCACCCCACAGCGGCCGGGGACCCGCAGCAACCTCCCTGCCTCCCGCCCCGCGCAGAAGCGGCCACCGAGGAGGAGGGGGAGGACCAGGCGGTGACGGGGGACGAGTTGGAGCCCCCATCCTCGGGGCCGCCAGGCTCGGAGCCGCCCTCGCTGCCCCACAGACCCCCGGCTCCCCGCGGCCGTGGGGTGAGGCGCAGGAGGAGCTCGCCCAAAAAACCGCTGTCCAACAAACCGCAGGACTTCCAGGTGAGACCCCCGTAGGTCGGAACTGACCCCGGGTGTCGTCACCTGCGAGGCGACCCCGAGGTGTCCCCTTGAGGCCGGGCCGACCCCTCCTCCGCCCTCCCCCCAGATCCGGGTTCAGGTGATCGAGGCCCGGCAGCTGCCCGGCGTTCACATCCGCCCCGTGGTGAAGGTGACGGCGGCGGGGCAGACCAAGAGGACCAGGATACGCAAAGGCAACAGCCCCCGCTTCGACGAGGTGAGGGGGGGATGCTGGGAGGGGGTGGTTGAACCCAAATGCACCCAACCGGGCTTCATCTCCACCGCCAGGCCCATCCTCATCACCCCGCCCACCCCGACCATGCGTGGGGCAGGGTGGGCCACCTCCATACTGGAACATCCCGGCGCCCCGTGCTGGGAGTGCCACGCTGCAGTGCCCCTCTTCCCCACAGACCTTCTTCTTCAACGTCTTCGAGTCGCCGGCTGAGCTGTTCGACGTGCCCATCTTCATCACGGTGAGCCCTCCCACGCCGTGTCCCCATCCCCAGCCCGGGGATGTGGCTCTGCTCCCCCCTGGGCTCACTGCTCCCCCCGCAGGTCCTGGACTCGCGCTCCTTCCGGATGGACGCGGTGATCGGGGAGTTTCGGGTAGGGATCCCTCCCATCTGCTCGTGGGGTGGCGATGGGTGGGTGGTTGGACTGCAATCTTGGAGGTCTTTTCCAGCCTTTGTGACTCTGATTCTGGGAGCTGGGTGGGTTGGGGTTGGACTTGGGGGTCTTGGAGGCCTCCTTCAGCCTTTATGCTTCTGTCGTTGTGTGATTCTGTGTCTGGGCACGGCGGGGAGGGGTCGGCTCGATGGCCTTGGGGTCTTTTCCAACCAGAATGATTCCATAATTGAGTGGACATGCAGGTGATGGGTTGGTGGTTGGACTGGATGACCTTGCAGGTCTTCTCCAACCCAGATGATGCCATGAGGGAGTCATGGAGGTGATGGGTTGGTGGTTGGACTCAATGACCTTGGGGGTCTTCTCCAACCTGAATGATTCGGTGGTTCTGTGGGCGGCGATGGGCTGGTGGTTGGACTCGGTGATCTCAAGGATCATTTCTGACCTTACCAATGCACTGATTCTGTGATTTTCTCTCTCTGTGTCTCACAGATGGACGTTGAGAGCATCTACTCGGAGCCCAGTGAGTTCTGTGTCCACCCCCACGCGTTCCCATAGGAAAGGCAGAGGTGTTCCCCCACCCATTGCCCCTTCCTGGGGTGTGTATCCACACGGATTCAATTTGGGATGAGGTCCATAAAGAAGGGACAAAATGATGCCTATTAAACATTTCCCACCCCCATCCCTGCCAAGCATGACAATTAAACACGGGGAGCTTAGCAGATAGGAGGCCAGCAGAGGGAATTCAGCACTGCCCCATCACACCACCCCATGTCCCCCCCAGAACACGCGATCCTCAGGCGGTGGCTGCTGCTCTCTGACCCGGAGGACTTCACAGCAGGGGCAAAAGGATACCTGAAGGTCAGCCTGCTCGTGCTGGGGCCCGGGGACGAAGCTCCTGTGAGTATCAGTGCTGGGGGGCTTCAGCTGCTGCCATCTGGATTGGTGCACTGACCTGATGGCCATCCTGCAGGTGGAGAAGAAGGAGGTCTCTGAAGACAAGGAAGACATCGAGGGGAACCTCCTGCGTCCCACGGGGGTCACCTTGCGAGGGGCTCAGTTCTGCCTGAAGATCTTCAAAGCTGAAGATTTGCCCCAGAGTGAGTGGTGGCTCCGTGCCGTGGCGTCGTGGCGGGCTGTTGGGTGCTGGGGGTGGCACTCGGTCTCGATGTGTGGGACGGAGCACCCATGGGTGCTGCACATTGCAGCCCACCCAGCAGACCTCTCCCCTTGCAGTGGACGACGCCGTCATGGACAACGTCCGGCAGATCTTTGGCTTTGAGAGCAACAAGAAGAACCTGGTTGACCCCTTTGTGGAAGTCAGCTTCGCGGGGAAGACGGTGAGTGGGGCACGGCTCTGCGCCTCTGGGCTGGGGACGGGGGGACGTCGCGTGGGGATGCTGTCGGGGCAGAGGCTGGGCTGTGCCAGGGTTGTGTCTCCTCTGGGGTGTGGGGCTTCCCTGCACCGGGGGGAGACCAATCCCTGCTCCCACCCCTCCAGCTCTTCTCGAGGATCCTGGAGAAGAATGCCAACCCGCAGTGGAACCAGTGCCTGACGCTGCCGGTGATGGTGAGCGCGGTGCCCACCCCTCACCGCCCCGCTGCCCCCGGCCACCACTCACTGCTCCTCTCTGTCCCCAGTTCCCTTCCATGTGCGAGAAGATGAAGATCCGGGTGACCGACTGGTGAGCTGCGGGGAGGGGATGGGGTGGGGACCCCATAAAACAGGAGGAGCTGGGGAGGGGATGCGCTGATGGATTGGGGGGCACCCGGGGTGCGCTGAGACGTGGGCTGTGTTCCAGGGACCGTCTCACGCACAACGACGTCGTTGGCACCGCCTACCTCTGCATGTCCAAGATCTCTGCGCCCGGCGGGGAGCTGGAGGGTGAGTGGGTGGTGGGATGGGGCTCTGTGCACGGCCCTGGGGAGCATGGCGTGCTCACAGCTGGAGCTCAGCGTTGGCTTGGAAGAGGGAACGGGCAGGGTGGGCTCTGCCTGACCACTGGGGCAGAAATGGGGGCACGGGTAGGGGCATGGGGCTGGCTCTCTTTATCCTACATGGTGCTGGCTCCGTCCGTCCCATGGTGGGGACTCTGTCCATCCCGTGGTGATGTCTCCATCCATCCCGTGGTGGTGGCTCCATCCATCCCATGGTGCTGTCTGTGTTCATCCATTCGGTGGTGGTGGCTCCGTCTGTCTTGTGGTGGTGGCTCCATTCATCCCATGATGACGTGTCCATCTTGCATGGTGGTGGCTCTGGTTATTCTATATGGTCTTGGTTCCATCCATCCTGTGGTGATGGTGGTTCCATCTGTTCTGTATGGTGCTGGCTCCATTCACCCTGCCTGGTAGCTCTGTCCATCCCACGGTAGTGTCTACATCCATCCTGCATGGTGGTGGCTCTGAGTCCTATGAGGTCGCTCGATCCACCCTGCACAGTGACTCCACCTCCCCTGCATGCTGACTCCATCCATCCCATGGTGGTGACTCCATCCATCCCCTGGCCTTGTGCTGTGTTGTTTTGGCGGCCATCCCTCCTGGCTCCTGGTCCTGCAGACCTTCATTCCTCCTGTGGCCATAGGAAGAGATTGCTGCAGAGCTGCATTGCACAGGAGGCTTTGCATCCTGTCTCAGTCCGTGTGCACTCTGCAACCTCCCTGGAGGGCTGCATGGCCGTGTTGCAGCCTCCCTGCTTCTCTGTTGGCACCAAATCCCCCAGCAACATCTGCTTTTCCCATCGCCTCCTCCTGTCCCACAACCTTCCTGCTCCTCCTCCTGACCTCTCTCCATCTCTTTACGCTCCAGATGCGTTTCCTGCTCTCGCGAAGCCTCTGAAAGCCTCGGACTGTACGTCCTTTAGAGCCTCTTGGTTTGAGGGCACTTGGGTAACTTCTTTCCTTTAGGGTGTGTGGTGCCCGGGGAGGGGCTGCGCTGCCATCCCTCCGGTGGTTTTGGGGTATCCCTGCTGGGCAGCGGCGGTGCTGGAGGTCTCAGGGTGACAGTGTGTTGCACACTGAGCGGCTGGGGTCTGGTGTTGTGCTGGAGCTCGGCGCACGTGGATCTGCCTCTTCGCTGCTCATCTGCTTGAGGTGTCCAGAAGGGAGCAGTGCTCACGGCTCACACTGCCTCGTGGCACAGCGCAGCCCTAAATCCACGCAGCTCCCAGCCCAGGGATGCCCCGCACAGTTGCCAGCACCTTCCCTGTCCTGGCAGAAGGTGTTTGCAGGGACGTGGCACTCTGCCCATGGGTCCCTGACATCCCCTTTCCTGTGCCCTGCAGTGGATGACGGGCTGGGCTTCCTGCCAACCTTTGGCCCGTGCTACATCAACCTGTATGGCAGCCCCCGCGAGTTCACCGGCTTCCCCGACCCGTACGAGGCGCTCAATTTAGGAAAGGTGAATCAGCTCCTTCCCAGCACGGCCCAAAATAAATTAACCTTCCTTCCTTCCTTCCTGCTTCTGCTAACCCTGCCTGGCTTTGTTAGCAGGAGCCCATGCTGTGCGCTCTGTCCTGCTGGCTAAACTCCTCCTGGCACTGAAATAGCGCTGCTGCTCTGACCTCTGCCGTGAAGCCAACGAGAGCAGAGGTGGAGGTGAAGGATGGGGCGATGGCTGCTGACCCTGTCCTGCTCTACCCCAAGGGCGAGGGCGTCGCGTACCGCGGCCGGGTGCTGCTGGAGCTGGAGACCAAGCTGGCGGAGCACGGGGAGCTGAAGGTGGAGGACATCTCTGCAGATGACATCCTGCGGGTGGAGGTAATGGGGCTGCTGTGCTCTGGTGCTGGCCGTGGAAGGGGGATGTCTTGCAGCTGATGGTCTCCTGGAGGGCGTCTCCCGCTGCGTTTCATCCCAGGGTGTCCGCCTTGCTGTGTCTGAGCAAACCATAGTGAAGGTGGATGTGCGGGAGATTTGCTGTTAAAGAACAGCAATCCCATCTCCAGCAAGTTGGACTTGATGATCCTCATGGGTCCCTTCCAGCTTGGATTCTCCGACCCTGTGACCTCGAGTGCTGTTGCAGATGCACTCCTGCTGCTCTTTAGAACTGACCTTCCTTTTCCACACTCCACACATAGCTCCAGTCTCCTCCTCTGTTAGATTTTTCTTAAACATCTCACCCCAAATTCTGTCGACACGCATAATGTTCTCCTTTCCTGCATTGATCTCTCCATCTCAGTGGCTTTGCCATGCTGCCATGTGTTGGGCCATCATAGGAGGGCAGTGGTGGCATCTCCTCCCTGTTCCTGTGCCTCTTGCAGAAGCACCTGCGGCGGAGGAAGTACTCCCTCTTTGCTGCCTTCTACTCGGCCACCATGCTGCAGGACGTGGACGATGCCATCCAGTTTGAGGTCAGCATTGGCAACTATGGCAACAAGTTTGACAACACCTGCTTGCCCTTGGCCTCCACCACACAGTACAGCCGGGCTGTGTTCGATGGTGAGCAGCACCAAGGGACTGTCTGTGCGTTGGTGGGGGGTGGCTGTGGGGTGTCCATCCTTGAAGGCCTTCAAAACCCAACTGGAGGACTTCATACCCAGCTGGAAGCCTTCAAAACAAAACTGGGGTCATCAAAACCAAATAGGAGGCCTTTAAAACCCAACTGGAGGTCTTCATACCCAACTGGAAACAAAATGGGGTCATCGGAACCCAATGGGAGACCTTCAGAGCCCAGCAGGAGACTTTCAAATCTCAATTGGAGATCCTTGAACCCAACTGGAAGCCTTTGAAACAAAACTGGGGTCATCAAAAACAAATAGAGGCCTTCAGAACCCAACTAGAGGTCTTCAAATTTCAATTGGAGGTCCTTAAACCCAACTGGTAGCCTTTGAAACAAAACTGGGGTCATCAAAAACCCAATGGGAGGCCTTCAAAACCCAACGGGAGACCTTCAAATCTCAGTTTGAAGTCCTCAAAGTCCAACTAGGGGTCTTCAGAACCCAAAGGGGGGCCTTCAAAACCCAGCCAGGGGTTTTCAGAACCTGACTGGAGTGCCTCAAAACCCAACTGAAAGTCTTCAAGTCCAACTGGAGACCTTTGGAAGATCAGCCAACGTGTGAAGGCACCAGCACATGTGGGAAGATGTGACTGGAAAGGAGGGAGGCAGCCAGGAGTTAAGCGTTCCTGCGGAGCCTCTTGGCCCTAACAGTGCCCCTTTCTTCTCATGGGAGAGCTGGTATTTTGGGGTGGCCTTTCCCAGGCTCCCGTGGGGCTCTGGGCTCAGATGCCTTCAGCACCCCAGGGTTGTGCTGCTGCTTCCTGGCCTCAACGCTCCACAGGAGCAGCTGCAGATGGGTCCATGTGCACTTTTGGACCTCGTTGCACACGGGGTGTCCAAAAGAGCCGGACCCTGAGCTCCTGCCCCAACCACGTGGTGCCTGCTGCCATCACCTGGTGCCCCGAGCTCACCCAGCGCTGTGCCCTCCAGGTTGCCAGTATTACTACCTGCCCTGGGGCAACGTGAAGCCCGTGGTGGTGCTGTCCTCATACTGGGAAGACATCAGCTACCGAACCGACACTCAGAACCTCCTCCAGCATGCAGCAGACAGGCTGGTGAGTGCCCTGGTGACGCAGTGCATCCCTCTGTGCATGGGGGACTGGGGGGATGGAACTTATCTCTAGTGGGGTCGGGCGTGGGGCTTGGTGGTGACCCAGGTGTTATGTTTGAGGTGTGGGAGCCACAGCAGGGGCTGCTGGTGCCTCCTCTGTGACTCAAAACCTGGGATGCTTCCTTTCTTTTGTGGCTTCCAGACAGCACGGTGTCATGCAGCTGGGTGGGAAATGGGGGGACCACCCTCATCCTGTGGGGTGACAGTGGGATGCTTCATCCAAGTGGGGAACCAATGGGGGAAGCATTGCTTCCTTCCCCTTTGGAGCGATGGGTGGGATTTCTGCCATGCTATGGGAGCTCCAAGTGGAGCCCACCCAGCAGTGCTGGGCTCAGTAGGACCAGCTGGGAGGTTCTGAGCTGGAGGGCCACGCCGGGGTGGTGGGACGTGGCACTTACCCCTGTGTTGTGCAGGAAGCCAACCTGGAACGGATCCACCTTGCGCTCAAGGCCAACGGCGCGCCGGGCGAGCTGCAGTCCCTGGGTGCCCAGCTGATGGACGACATCATTGCAGACTGCAGGTATTTCTGCCACCTCTCACGGGACGCTTCTCACCGTGTTTTGTTGCAGGAGTGCTTGTTTGTTTTGGAAAGGAATTACTTCCTGCGGCTTCTTTTCCTCCGTGTGCTTTGCGTGTGTCTGTGCAAGGCGCTGGGTTTCTTGGGTGCCGGTGGTTGGGCCAGAGATGGAGGTGTTGGGTTGGGTGACATGGATGTATCTCCCACCGTGGGACAAATCTGTCCCTCTTGGCGGCCCATGATGTCACCACACCTGCTGGGACCGCTGTCCCCACGTCACCCCCTGGCCTTCATGGTGGGGAGGTGGTGCCTCCTCCTTTTCAGCCTGGAACCCGCTGTGCAGAGCTCCAGGAGGACGCGCTCACCTGGCCACATGTCTGTACTCACAGCCCCCCCATTTGTTTGCTTTTGAGCATCATAAAGGAGACGTGTTTTGCCCCACACACGGTTGGACTTGGTGGTGATCCTAGAGGTCTTCTCCAACCTTGAAGACCCTGTGGTTCTACTAGAGAGTGGCTCTGTGCAGCCTGACCTCTCTGTGGTCGCTGTGTGGATGTGGGGCCATGGTGGGACACACAGGGTTCGTTCAGAAGGAGCTTGGGCTGGATTTTGGAGCAGTGGGACAGCCCTACTGCCTCCAGTGCTTCCCTGTCCTGGTGGAAAGGCTCAAGTGTTCTCCAGACCTTTTCACAAAGGTCCTGGGAAAGGAGAAGGGCTGGAAGAGGCACTGTGATGGGTGCAGTTGGGGAAAGAGGAATAGCAGCAAAATCCAGTGCCTCACCTGGCTCAGGTAGCTCTCATGCTGAGTGGCTTGGATTGGAAGGGTCTTTAAAGATCAGAGAACCATGGAATGGTTGGTTGGAGAGGTCCTTAAAGATCAGAGAGCCATGGGATGGCTTGAGTTTGGGTTGGAAACATCCTGAAAGGTCATAGAACCATGGAATGGCTTGGGCTGGAAATTCTGAAATCTTCCTTCATCCAGCAGCTTGAATCAATTGATGCTGTGTGTGCGTGGTCTGGGTGACCTGGTGGGCAATGGTTGACCAACAGTTGACCAATGATTGATCAGCAGTTGATCAGTGGTTGACAAATAGTTGATCACCAAATTGGCCAACAGTTGACCAGCGGTTGACTAATGATTGACCAGCAGTTGACTAACAGTTGACCAGTGGTTGATTGAAGATTGACTGGTAGTTGACCATCAGTTGAGCAGTGGTTGACTAGTGATTGACCAGTAGATGACAAACAGTTGTCCAGTGGTCACTAAAGATCAGTAGTTGACCAGCAGTTGACAAATGGTTGGCAAACAGTTGACCAAAGTTTGACCAACAGAGCCGGCATTAAGGGGCTTGGACTGGAGGATCTCCAGAGATCCCTTCCAGCCCCCCGTGGTTCTGGATTCTGGGAGGAGGGTGATGCTCAGGATTGCTGCTCACACCACATCTCTGCCCGCAGCGTTCCGCTGCCCGACGTGCTGGGGAAGGTGGCCAGCACACACCTGGACCAGAACCTGTACCGCTTCCGCAGCACCAACATGGAGCAGGTGATGCGGGCGGCCCTGAGGCTGAAGCACGAGGAGCTGAGCCTGCCAGCCGTGCTGGAGCAGGCGGAGGACTGGCTGTGCCGGCTGCGTGCCATGGCTGAGGAGGTAACGCCACCATGTCCCAGTCCCCACGTGAGGATTGCCACCACCCTGCTGTTACCTACCAGTGAGGTTTCATGGGGTGGTGGCACTCGGTGTAGAGAGGCTGATGGTGTTGGCCTGAGCAGCTGTTGCTCAAAGCAGGAGGTTTGGTTCTGTGATGGACTTTTAGAGGCCATGCTTTGCTTGTTTTGCCTTGGTGCTAAAAGAGGGAGGAAACGGTGAGTTGAGAGACATACAATGATCAAATTCAAAACATCAATAGAAGCAGAGCGTCCAGCTCTGGTTTGGGCTCTCTGTTGATGAGAAGGAGTCCAACCAATCCACTGAACATGCTCGATGTGTATTGGAGAGACAAGAAGCAATCAAGTGACATTTGGGAGTGTCATCATAGGGTCCTTTGAGTTGGAAGGGTCCTCCAAGGACCATCCGATCCAACTCACTCATTTAGCTCCAATCACAGTCATTATCAAACTCCAATCTTAGATTATCCAACACCTCACAGTGGTGACTTCTACTTTCTGGCCATGTTGGCCAGTGAAGCTCTTGGCAGTGGGGCTTCTCGTGCAGAATCAGGGTTGGGAAACCTGATAAAAGGCTGAGGAATAATAATATTCAGCAGAATGGGTTTCAGGTAACTCATGCATCTTTTTTGTTGTTTACCACTACAGATTTGGGTTTCTTTTTACATGGCAGATTATGTGGAGTCCTGAAAGTCAGTGGGGCTTCATGTGCCAAAGAGATCCGTGACCACACACCACAGGGAAGGTGTAGCAGTGACCAGGATTCCAGCACTAGCTGGAATATTCACCTGCTCATTTTATTTCCTGAGCTTTCTTTTACACATCACATCCCGTAGCTGATCTTAAAACAAGAGGTTGGACTACGGGTCTCCTGAGATCCCTTCCAACTGAGTGCACTAAGAGCTGTGTGAGCCCAGAGGTGTCATGGTCTGTTCTTCTTCCATCTGGCACTTCGTGTTGCTTTGATTCCCAATGCGAACGGATAGCCACCACCTGGGCGGGATGCGGGGCCGGGATGCTCAGCCCTATAGGCTGGAGGCTGGCGATAGGGCCTGGAATCCCTGGGGTCAGGTGTCTCCATCACTCTGTAACGCCTGCACCCCTCTGCAGCCGCAGAACAGCCTCCCAGACGTGGTGATCTGGATGCTGCGGGGCGAGAAGCGCGTTGCCTACGCCCGCGTGCCGGCCCACGAGGTGCTCTACTCCCGTGGTCACCCCAGCTACTGCGGTAGGAACTGTGGCAAGCTGCAGACCATCTTCCTGAAGGTTCGTGGCCTTTCTGCATGCACGTGCAGACCTCAGCTCCTCGTGCACCCCGGGGCAGCTCCCTGGGACCGCTCTCCTGTTTTCTGCGCGGCTCTTTCTGCAGTACCCCCAGGAGGAGGCGATGGGGCCACGGATCCCAGCCCAGATCCGCGTCCAGCTCTGGTTTGGGCTCTCTGTTGACGAGAAGGAGTTCAACCAATTCGCTGAGGGGAGGCTCTCCGTCTTTGCTGAAACAGTGAGCATCTGCCAGGACCCCTCTGCTCCGGGTTCTCCTGCTGCGTGGGTCCTCCTGGAGGGGCAGGGTGTGGGGTGGTGGGCTCTGGTTGGGGCGTGGGTGCTGTGGGGCTCCCTTTTGACCTAGAGAGGAGCTGATTCCACCAGCAAGGTGGAGAGAGGGGGATCTGGGTTCCCATCCTCCTCCTCCTTGTTGGGGTAGAAGCTGGGGGTGCCCGCAGGAGGGTTGGGGGTGCGAGAGGCTCTTCCCAGGAGGTTGGTGCTCAGGACGGCTGTGAGTTCATAGAGTCACAGAGTCCTTTAGGTTGGAAAAGCCCTCTGAGGTCATCAGGGCCAGCAGGTGATCGAGCACTGCCAAGTCTACCACGAAACCGCGTCCCGAAGCATCACACCTTTGTGGTTCTTAGAACCGTGGGGTGGTTTGGGTTGGAAGGGCCCTTAAAGTCCATCTAGCTCCAATCCCCCCTCCATGGGCAGGGTTGCCACTCGCTAGACCAGCTCGCCCACAGCCCCCTTGTACCTCAGGATCTGTGCCACCGCTCTCACCCCACTGCTAACACCAAATCTCTTTTGGGATCTCAGTACGAGAACCAGACCAAGCTGGCACTGGTGGGGAACTGGGGCACCACCGGCCTGACTTACCCCAAATATTCCGATGTCACCGGCAAGATCAAGCTCCCCAAGGACAGCTTCAAGCCCTCCACGGGCTGGACCTGGGCTGGTGATTGGTTCATCTCCCCGGAGAAAACGTGAGTGATGTTTTTATTGCAAAACCACATGGGGTGGGAGCCCTAAAATGTGGAGCTGGGGGTGAGGTCACCCACTGGGGGCTCCTCCTGCCCAGAGCATCCTTGGCGTGCAGTGATGCTGATGTGCGACGTGTTGTATCGCTGTTGGGTGACGACCCAACGTGCAGCCCCAGATTTGCAGATCCCCATGCAGGCCCCCATTTGGTGCAGGTGGTCTGGGTGCTCGGGGGCAGCGGGGTGGGGTCCCCACTGATGACCACCACTGCTGGGTGCAGGATGCTGCACGAGGCAGACGCGGGGCACCTGAGCTTCGTGGAGGAGGTGTTTGAGAACCAGGTGCGGCTGCCGGGCGGGCAGTGGATCCACATGGCCGATGCCTACACCGATGTGGTAAGGAGTGAGTGGGACCCCGGGGTGCTGCACGAAGTGAGGGGTGATGGACGGACGTTGTTCCTCGTGGTGTCCCACAGAATGGGGAGAAGGTTCTGCCCAAGGATGAGATCGAGTGTCCTCCGGGCTGGAAATGGGAAGACGTGGAGTGGGACACCGACCTCAACAGAGCCGTGGATGAGAAAGGTATGAGGGGGCAGATTCGGGTGTCCGTGCCACTTCACCCTCTGAACTCTGCCCCCTGGGGGCTTCTTTCCATGCTCCCATCTGGGGATGGAGGTGTCTCTCTGTGGCTGTGGCAGCTGCTGTGGTGGCAGCTCAGGAGAAAGGCTCAGCCCCTGGTGTTGTCTGTCCCTGCGGACCTGGCCCTGTCTGGGTCTGTGGGCAGCACTTTGCTGCAGGAGAGGCAGCGTTCTTTGGGTTCTTCTTATCTGGCTTCTGGGGAGAGAGGGCTGGTGAGCATCTGAGATCACTGACCTGCAGCATGGCTTGGGTTGGAAGGGTCCTTAAAGAGCATAGAACCATAGAAGGGCCTGGGTTTGGGTTGGAAGGGTCCTAAAAGAATGTAGAACCACAAAATAGCTTGGCTTCGGTTTGGAAAGGTCCTTAAAGATCATAGAAACATAGGATGGCTTGGGTTTGGGTTGGAAGGGTCCTAAAAGATTGTAGAACCATAAGATGGCTTGGGTTTGGGTTGGAAGGGTCCTAAAAGATTGTAGAACCATAAGATGGATTGGGTTTGGGTTGGAAAGATCCCTAAAGATCATGGAACCATGGAATGGCTTGGGTTGGGTTGCGTTGGGTTGGAAAGATTTTTAAAAATCATAGAAGCATAGGATGGTTTGGGTTTGGGTTGGAAGGGTCCTTAAAGATCATAGAACTATGGAATAGCTTGGATTTGAGTTGGAAGGGTCTTTAAAGATCATAGAACCATAAAATGTTTTGGATTTGAGTTGGAAAGGTCCTTAAAGATCATAGAACCATAAAATGTTTTGGATTTGAGTTGGAAGGGTCCTTAAAGGTCACAGAACCATAGAATGGATTGGGTTTGGGTTGGAAAGGTTCTTAAAGATCATAGAACCATAGAATGAATTGGGTTTGGGTTGGAAAGGTCCTTAAAGGTCAAAGAACCATAGGATGATGTGGATTTGGGTTGGAAGGGACTGTAAAACTCACCCATCCCCCTTCTGATGTGGCTGGATGTGAGGAGGGGTGGGAGGCGAGTTGGGGGTTCTTCTCCCACCCTCACCTGCTGTCCCTGTGCCCCCCAGGCTGGGAGTATGGCATCACCATCCCTCCGGACCGCCGGCCCAAGGCCTGGGTGCCAGCTGAGAAGATGTACCACACCAACCGGCGCCGGCGCTGGGTGCGACTGCGCAGCAGGGACCTGGCACAGATGGAGACCGTCAGGAAGGTGGGGTGAGAGCAGGGAAGCGGGGCTGGGAGCAGCTCGGGGCTGAGTCCTCACCTGGGGGGAGATGCTCGGGGTTGTGCACTGGGGGCCTGAAGGAGGAAAGCCGTGTGGTTTTTTTCACCGGGGGGTCAATGTCTGTTTGAGGTGGTGGCATCTCTGGGTGTTGGTGGTTGTGGGGTGGGGGACAAGGTATGGGTCAGAGCTGTGCTGGCCATGTGGGTTCTGTGCCCTTTCCCAGCCCCGCTCCCCTCTAGGTGGTGCCATTGGACTGTGAAAGCCACAGCGCAGCGAGGTTCCCGGGAATAGTTTCCCTCTTTTTCTCTCTTTCTAGAAAGTTTGGGATGGAAATGTTTGGGGACCCCATCCCATTTCCCAAAGGGTCCCGGCTGAGGGCTGGCAGAGGTCTGGGGAGAAAAATCCCTTCTTGGCTTTGGGACTGTGAGCCTGGCGAGGATGTCACAGAATCACACGGCCATGCAGGTTGAAGACCTGTAGGGTCCCGAACCCCAACCCACTGAGCACGTCCCCATGTCCCCATGCCACATCCCCACGATTCTGGGACACCTCCAAGGATGGTGAGCCCACCACCCCCATGGGCAGCTGTGCCAATGAATCATAGAATCATAGAATGGCTGGGTTGCAAAGGAGCACAGTGACCATCAGTTCCAACCCCCTGCTGTGTGCAGGTCGCCAACCAGCAGCCCAGGCTGCCCAGAGCCACATCCAGCCTGGCCTTGGATGCCTGCAGGGATGGGGCATCCACAGCCTCCTTGGGCAACCTGTTCCAGTGCATCACCACCCTTAGAGTGAAAAACTTCCTCCTAATATCCAACCTAAACCTCCCCTGTCTCAGTTTAGAACCTTTCCCCTTTATCCTATCACTATCACTATCCCCCTCTTGTTTATGTGCTCCCTTCAAGTACTGGAAGGCCACAATGAGGTCTCCCCGGAGCATTCTCTTCTCCAAGCTGAACAATCCCAGTTCCCTCAACCTTTCACAAACAGCGACCCCAGGAGGACTCAGAACTGTTGGGAATCCCACAGCAGCTCACACAGAATCACAGAATGGTTGGGTTGGAAGGGACCTCAAGGATCATGAAGCTCCAACCCCCCACTGCATGCAGGGCCACCAACCTCCACATTTCACAGCAGCCCAGGCTGCCCAGGGCCCCATCCAACCTAGCTTGAACACCTCCAGGGATGGACGGGGCATCCACAGCCTCTCTGGGCAGCTGTTCCAGCACCTCACCACTCTCTCTGTAAAGAATTTCTCCCTGATATCCAACCTAAATCTCCACTCCCTCAGCTTCAAACCATTCCCTTGTCCTGCTGCCATCTCCCCTTCCCAAGAGCTGACTCCCCTCCTGTCTGTAGGCTCCCTTCAGGTGCTGAAGGCTGCAATGATTCACCCCGCAGCTTCTCTTCTCCATGCTGAACGAGCCCAGCTCCCTCAGCCTGTCTTTGTAGGGGAGGTGCTGCAGCCCCTGCTCATCTCTGTGGCTCCTCTGGCCCCTCTCCAACAGCTCCCTGCCTTTCTTGTCCTGGGGGCTCCAGCCCTGCACGCAGTGCTGCAGACGGGGCTTCATGAGGGCAGAGCAGAGGGGAAAGCACCAAGAAGCCGAGCAGAACCCGGGCACAACCCCACCCAAGGAGACCCCTGCCCCCCCCCCCTCGGTGGTGCTGAGCCCCCCATCGCTCTGCCCCGCAGCACAGGCAGGACGAGCAGGATGGTGAAGGCTGGGAATACGCCTCGCTGCTGGGCTGGCGCTTCCACCTGCGGCCCCGTCGCACCGACGCTTTCCGCCGCCGCCGCTGGAGACGCAGGATGGAGCCCCTGGAGCGCACCGGGGCTGCGGCTGTGTTCGCCTTGGAGGGGGCCCTGGTAGGTCCCCAGCCAGCACCCAGCTGCTTTTGCTGGTGCACAGAATGAGAACCGAGCGCGGCAGCACGGAGCTTCTATTATGGGGCTTCCTCCCTTTCGGGTTCTCCCTCACCCTGTGCTCTGTGCTCAACTTCCCCTCCCTTCCCCCCTTGGGAGACACTGTGGGGTGAGGGTTGGGCTGCCCTCGTTTGCATCGCAGCCATAATGCACTGTCCCCATTGGGGGGGTCCCAGCTGTCAGCCACCCCCTGGTGTCACCAACCCTGAGGGCTTTCACAGAATCAGAGAATGGCCCGGGTTGGAAGGGACCTCAAGGATGATGAAGCTCCAACCCCCTGCCACACGCAGGGCCACAAACCTTCTCATTTAATGCTACACCAGGCTGCCCAGGGCCCCATCCAACCTGGCCCTGAACACCTCCAGGGATGGACGGGGCATCCACAGCCTCTCTGGGCAGCTGTTCCAGCACCTCACCATTCTCACAGCAAACAACTTCCCCTGACATCCAACCTCAATCTCCCCTCCCTTCACACCAGCTTTGGGAAATCTGGGCTAAACCGATGGTCTGAGGTGCTCCGTGTGGGGTGCACCCAATGGGTTCCCACACCCTTCCTTCCCAAGGGGAAGGGTTTAGGGACAGAGGATCCTCAGCTCACCCCATGCTGGGAGGCGATGGCCCCCAGGTCCCTTTGGACCCCCATGGTGTGCAGCCCCCATCCTGCTGCTCTGTCTTGCAGGGAGGAGTGACGGACGACAAAAGTGACGATGGCAAATCCGTCTCCACGCTGAGTTTCGGTGTCAACAGACCCACCATCTCCTGCATCTTCGACTGTGAGTCTCAGTGGGGGGAGGACGAAATTCAGTATGGCACCCCATGGCCGGGCATCGCCCCACATCCTCCTTGGGTGCCGTTGGGTGCTCCTTAGGAGCTCACCCTGGATGCTCCTCTCACCCATTTCTCAATTTATTCCAGATGGGAACCGCTACCACCTCCGCTGCTACATGTACCAGGCACGGGACCTGGCTGCCATGGACAAGGACAGCTTCTCGGGTGAGCCCACACAATGTGCAGGGACAGGAGTGTGGCTGTGGGGAGGGGACATGCTGGGATGGTGCTGGGTGGTCCCACAGTCTCATCCCCATGGGCTGTGCTGCTCTTCTGTGCTGCCTTTGTGCACCTCCAGCCCTGCTTTGCAGTGTCGTTTTGAGGCAGGAAAGCAGCAAAGTGGGGATCCCTGCAGCATCCCCTATGGGATTCCCTACAGCACCTCTGCAGCATTCCCTACAGTATTCCCACAGAAGCCCCATACCATTCCTGTGGCATCCTTGTAGCATTCCCATACCATCCCCACAACATCCTTATAGGATCCTCGCAGCATCCCCTGTAGCATCCTTCCTGCATCCTATATCATCCCTATATCAGCCCTGCAGCATTCCCTATTAGCATCCCCACTGTATTCCTGTACCAACCCCATAATATACCTATAGTATTTCTACTGCTTTCCTATAGCTTCCTCACAGCATCCCCTATATCATCCCCACAGTATCCCCTCCATCATCCCCTACATCACCCCCTACGAAATCTCCATGCATCCCTATATGCTCCATATCATCCCTTCTACATCCCTGTAGCATTTCCACAGCAACCCTAATACCATCCCCACTATGACCCTATAGGATCCCCTTGTAGCATTCCTGTATCATCCCCTATAGCATCTCTGTATCATCCCCTGTGACTTCCCCTATACCATTTCTGCAGCATTCCCTATAGTATTCCCACAGAAGCCCCATACCGTCCCTGTGGCATCCTTGTAGCATTCCCATACCATCCCCACAACATCCTTATAGGATCCCCACTGCATCCCTGTGTCATCCCTATATCACCCCCGCAGCATTCCCTATAGCGTCCCCACTGCATTCCCATACCAACTCCATAACATCCCTATAGTATTCCTACTGCATCCCCTACATCATCCCCACAGCAGCCCTATATCTCCCACATCATCCCTGCTGCATCCCTGTAGCACTTCCACTGCAACCCCAATACCATTCCAGCCATGTTCCTATGGCATCCCCTATAGCATCCCCTATGGCATCTGTATAGCATCCCCTATAGCACCCCCATATCATCCCCTATAGCATCTGCCATGGCATCCCTATATCATTCCCCATGACATCCCTATATAATCCCCTATACCATCCCCTATGGCATCCCTATATCATCCCCATAGCATCCCCTGTGTCATCCCCCATGGCATCCCTATAGCATCCCTTATAGCATCCCCATTTCATCCCCCATGGCATCCCCTATATCATCCCCCATGGCATCCCTATATAATCCCCTACAGCATCCCCATATCATCCCCCATGGCATCCCTATAGCATCCCCTATAGCATCCCCTATGGCATCTGTATAGCATCCCCTATAGCACCCCCATATCAACCCCTATAGCATCTGCTATGGCATCCCTATATCATTCCCCATGGCATCTCCCATGACATCCCTATATAATCCCCTATACCATCCCCTATGGCATCCCTATATCATCCCCATAGCATCCCCTGTGTCATCCCCCATGGCATCCCTATAGCATTCCTTATGGCATCCCTCATGACATCCCCTATATCATCTCCCATGGCATCCCTATATCATCCCCTATAGCATCTCCTATGGCATCTGTATAGCATCCCCTATAGCACCCCCATAGCATCCCCTATAGCATCTGCTATGGCATCCCTATATCATTCCCCATATCATCCCCCATGGCATCCCTATAGCATCCCCTATAGCATTGCCTATGGCATCCCCTATAGCATCCCTGTAACATTTGCTCTCTCACCCCACAACATCCCTGCTGCATCCCCCATTCCCCACCACTGTTTCCCCCAGTGTGACCCATGGCGATGCTTTCAGCCCCACAACCTCCATCCCTGTTCCCCCCGTCCCCGTGCTCAGCCCCACACCTCTGGCTCTTCCCTTTGAGGAATTGGATTCACGTTCCTGCTGTTAATTGCTTTTGGCCTTCCTGTGTTAATTGCCTGAGCTGTGCAGGCGCGTGGAGCCCCACGGGCAGTGGGGCACGGTGGGGTTGGGCTGGGACTGGGCTCGGTGGTGGTTCTTAGAGGTCTCCTCCAACCATAAAGATTCTCATGGGGTATCTGAAAGGTTTCTGTCATAAATCCCTCATTGGGGGGTTGTAGGGAAGGGAAGTGCCCCAGGAAGGAAGGGTTCTGCCCAGGTTCTGCGATGCCACTGAGGTTTCTGCATAGATGAACTGCCAAGCTGTGTCCCCCGTGGTGGGGACCTCCTGAGAAGAGGCACAGGGGTGGGCTGGGTGAAGAGCAGCTCCAAAGGGGAGCATCTCGGGTCAGCGTGATGGGAACCTGCAGAACCCCATGTGATGTGGGTGGGTTGGGTAGGGGTGGGTTGGGATGGGTTGGGTTGGGTAGGGGTGGGTTGGGATGGGTTGGGTTGGATAGGGGTGGGTTGGGTTGGGTAGGGGTGGGTTGGGTAGGGGTGGGCTGGGTTAGGGTGGGTTGGGTTAGGGTGGGTTGCTCCTTCCCTCATGGAGGGCCTCGGGGGGGGTGGGAGCTGAGTACTGCAAAGACTTTGAGGGGATGGATCCTTGTGGAGGGCAGAGGTGGTTCCTTGTGGAGGTCAGGGATAGTTGAGGATGGTTCCTCATGGACGTTGGGGGTGGTTCCTCTTGAAGATTGGAGATGGTTCATCACGGAGGTCAGGGTTGGTTACTCATGGATGTTGGGGATGGTTGAAGATGGTTCCTCGTGGAAGTCAGAGATGGTTCCCCATGGATGTTGGAGATGGTTGAGGGTGGTTCCTCATGGAGCTTAAGGATGTTTCCTCGTGAAGGTCAGAGATGGTTCCTCATGGAGGTTGGGAATGATTCCTCATGGAGGTTGAGGATGGTTCCTCATGGAGATTAAGGATGGTTCCTCATGGAGGTCAGAGGTGGTTCCTCATGGAGGTCGGGGATGGTTGAGGGTGGTTCCTCATGGAGCTTTAAGATGTTTCCTCGTGGAGGTCAGGGATGGTTCCTCATGGAGGTCAGGGATGGTTCCTCATGGAGGTTGGGGATGGTTCCTCATGATGGACAGAGATGGTTCCTCGTGGAAGTCGGGAATGGTTCCTCATGGAGGTTGGGCATGGTTGAAGATGGTTCCTCATGGAGCTTAAGGATGGTTCCTTGTGGAACAGAAGGATGTTTCCTCATGGAGGTCAGGGATGGTTCCTCATGGAGTTTGGGGATGGTTCCTTGTGGAGGGCAGAGATGGTTCATCATGGAGATTTGGGATGGTTCCTCATGGATGTTGGGGATGGTTCCTCATGGAGATTAGAGGTGGTTTCTCATGGAGGTTGAAGATGGTTCCCTGTGGAGGTTGGGGATAGTTCATCATGGAGGATGGGGGTGGTTCCTCATGGAGATTGGAGGTGGTTTCTCATGGAATTTAAGACTGTTTCCTTGTGGAGGTTGAGGATGGCTCCTCATGGAGTCACAGATGCTCCCTCACACAGGTTAAAGTCCTCACCGGAGGACATTTTGATGGGGAGGTCCCCCAGCAGAGCGTGCAGGGCTGTGAGCTGGCATTCCTGGGACACACTGGGATGGCCATTGCTCCCTCAGCCCACGCTCTGTTCTCAGACACCGGGCTCAGTGTGGCCGTGAGTCACCTCCTCCTCCCGAGGTGGCTGGGATTCACCCTCGGCCTTCTGTGTCACCCCCTGCAGACCCCTATGCCATCGTTTCCTTCCTCCACCAAAGCCAGAAGACAGTAGTGATCAAGAACACCCTGAACCCCACCTGGGACCAGACGCTCATCTTCTATGAGATAGAGATCTTCGGGGACCCCAAGAACGTGTCTGACTGCCCTCCCAGCATCGTGGTGGAGATATATGACCACGACACCTATGTGAGTGTGTGGGCACGAGCTGGGCCCTCGTGGTGGCAGGGCTTGGGGTACCACAGGTGGGGTTGTATGCTCGGCTGCCCAAAGCATCCTGCATGCCTTCTAGTGACAGCATTTTGGGGGGGGTAACCCCAATCCTCCCCAGACCAGCTGCTGAAACAGCTCTTGGGTTGGACACAATCGTAGAACCATTCAGGTTGGAGAAGACCTCCAAGATCCCCAAGTCCAACCGCAGCCCACCCCACCATGCCCACTGACCCTGACCCCTAAGTGCCACATCTCTACATTTCTCAAACACCTCCAGGACGACTCCACCCCCACCTCCATGGGCAGCCTGTGCCCAGAACCCCCCAAACGACCCCTGTGGATCTCAGCGATCCCTATGGATCATCCCTTCCCACCGCGGGTGCTCCGTGACGCCGCTGTATCACACTCAGAGCTCTCGCTGTGGGAACTGGCAGAGGAACCTCACCCCCTCTTTAAGTGAAAGGCACAAAAACGAGTGTGTCTGTGCTGGGGATGGGGAGCACTGACATCTCTGCTGCTCGCAGGGTGCTGACGAGTTCATGGGGCGCTGTGTGTGCCGGCCCAGCCTGCAGCGCGCACCGCGGCTCTCCTGGCACCCCGTGCTCAAAGGCAGCAGGAACGTCGGCGAGCTGCTGGCTGCCTTCGAGCTCATCCAGAGGGAAAAGGTGAGCTCTCCTCCTGCTCTGCTCCAGCACGGTGCAGCCGTTCTCAGCACTGCTGTCCCTGCTGGGCTCAGCAACTTCCAGCGTGGGAGCGCGATGAGCAGAGCGGTGGGGAGGGGGTTGGTGCTGAGCCAGGTGCTGGCTGCTGGGGGCTGGGAGTGCTGCTGCATGTCCTGGTGCTGCTCCTGCAGGGATGCAGATCCTTGTTGCATGGATGCAGATCCAGCTGCTGCTCCTGTTGTATGGATGCAGATCTTGCATGGATGCAGATCCAGCTGCTCCTTCTGCACCAGTGTAGGTCGTGTTGCTCCTCTTGTAGGGATGCATGTCCCTGTGCTCCTTCTGCACCAATGTAGGTCTCTCAGCTCCTCCTGCAGGGATGCATGCCCTGCTGCTGCTCCTGCTGCATGGATGCAAATCCCTCTGCTCCTGCTGCACCAATGTAGGTCCCTCTGCTTCTCCTGCAGGGATGCAGGTTCCAATGCTCCTGCTGCATGGATGCAGATGCTGCTCCTCCTGCACCAGCGTAGGTCCTGCTGCTCCTGCAGGGATGCAGTTCCCAGTACTGCTCCTCCTGCAGGGATGCATGTCCCAGTGCTCCTCCTGCTGCATGGATGCAGATGCTGCTCCTCCTGCACCAATGTAGGTCCTGCTGCTGCTCCTGCAGGGATGCATGTTCCTCTTCTCCTTCTGCAGGGATGCAGGTCCCAGTGCTCCTCCTGCTGCATGGATACAAATTCCACTGTTCCTCCTGCACCAATGTGTGTCCTGCTGCTCCTCTTGCAGGGGTGCATGTTCCTCTGCTCCTTCTGCAGGAATGCAGCTCCCAGTGCTCCTCCTGCTGCATGGAGGCATGTCCTGTTGCTCCTGCATCCTTCTCCTGCAGGGATGCAGATCCAGCTGCTACTCCTGCAGGAGCACCCCACTGCCTGCATGCTGCAGTCACAGAGGATGCTCTGGATCCCAGATTGGGGATTGCTGTGGGGACTGGGGCTGTGCCCCCCAGGGATGCTGATGCTGGCTGTGCTATTGCTTGCTGCCTCCACGTGGGTCTGCAGCTGCTGGTGGGATGGAGGAGGTGATGCCCACCCCTTCCTCACCCTGTGCAGGACCTGCAGGAGTTGGGGGGTGAGCCCTGGGCTGGGGGGCCTGCTGTGCTCCCCGCTGTAGACAGAGCCCTGCCCTCACCTGGGGATTTGGGAGCCTGGTGTTGGGGCAGGGGAAGGGCTCTGCTGTTTGCTGTCCCCGGGAGCACAAATGGAAAACGTGTGTTTCCTCCACAGCCAGCTGTCCACCACATCCCTGGCTTCGAGGTAATGCCTTCCTCCTCAAACCGGGCAGGAAAGTGGAACACATCCTTTTCCCTTTGCTTTAAGAGCATTAGGATGGGCTTGTGGGTGAGAGTTGCTTTCTTTTCCTAATCTCCTTCTGTTCCCCAAGCAGAACGAGCTGTCCTCCACTCTGGATGAGGTGAGTCCATCCCATCTCATCGTTGTCACAGGGGCAGTCACTTCCAAAATCCATTGTGTTGGGCTTCTAGTAACGCAGGAGGGAGGTGGGCTCTGAGGTGGGCTCCCAGTGGCAGGTTGGTGGTGGTCAGCCTTGTGGGATGAGCGTGCATGAGGTTTTGTGCCCCTCTGAAGGAAGCGTGCCAAAATAACCATCTCTCTGCTCTTTCTCCTCCATTCCTTGCTGCTGCTGTGTGTGGACGGGGCACTGCAGCTCTGTGCCCCTGCCTTGTTCTACGAGGGGCTCCTCCGATGGGTACCTTTGTGCTCAAACCCTTCATCCCCTCCCCTCCCTTCCTCTGCCTCAGCCTGAAAACCCCACAGAGGGACCTGCACAGCCTGGCCCTCCTGCCCCACAGGGTCCCCATCAGACTGACCCCCAAGGGCTGCATCTGAAGGACTGACCCCAACCCCAATGCCACCCTGAGTCTCTGGTGCCCTTTGCAGTAATTAAGAAGCCAGGGGATCCATCAGGCTCCTTCCTGATGGAAGGGTGCCAAGCCCAACCTCTGTCAGTGGTCAGGGAGCTCTGGGTCCCTCTCGCTGCTCTATGAGGGCAAATTTTGAAGCCCTCACTTGCTGGTGAGGTGGTGGTCGCATCCTTCTGCCCACAGCCTGCACAGAGGGCTCTACCTGAGCCCAGTCCCGATGCCTGCAGGCAGTGGGTATCTCAGTGCTTCAGTTAATGGGTGCATGGCTGTGGCATTGACCTCTGGGGGTTGAACCTCCTTGGTGGTGCTGTTGAGTGCCCTCTGTCCCACCATGGTATGCTGGTGGTACTCATGGGGCTCGTCACAGCATCCCTGCCTGCTCAAGGAGCTGTGCTGTGCTAATCCATCCCCTGCTGCTGCTGCTCCATCCCTGCTCTCCACCCCTCCCTGCAACTGATGCTGGATAGCTGTAGTTTTGTCTCCTCCTTCATCAGGGTGGGGATGACTTCAGCAGAAAATGGGAGCTTTGGGGGACCGGAATGGGAGGGCAGTGGGGATGGTGGCCCAACCTGATGCTATCACTTTTTGGTTTTCAGTCTGAGGACTCTGACCTGCCCTACCCACCACCCCAACGGGAACCCAACGTCTTCATGGTCCCCCAAGGGATCAAACCGGTCCTGCAGCGCACGGCCATCGAGGTGAGTGGCAGGGAGTGTGTGGGGCAGCCAGCAAGAGGGTGGCATGGGTAGGGTGGCATCCTTAATGGGGATCCTTGCTGCGGATTGGCAATGGAATGGGTTGCAAGGCAGCTCCATGGGTGCAGGCCTGGGAACTGGTTTGACCCATGAGATACCAACCAGAGATCTCCCTACACCATTATAACAGCAAATTTGGCCCTTGTGTGGATAAACCATGTGCCTTCCACTCCTCCTGGGAGGAGCTGTCTCAGTGGACCAACAGTTTCCATTTATCCTCTGTTCCTTTCATGCAGTTGGCACTCTTCCTATCTCTGGGGTGATGAGAAGGCTCCAACCAAGCTGGGGCTGGGGCAGTGAGCCCTGTGGAAGGGTCAGGTCCTGGGGCACAGCACAGAGCAGGACCACCCTTGCTTTTTGGAATGCAAATCTGCCTCGTGTCAGGACGATGGTGGTTGCCCCAAGCAGAGATGCTCTGTTGGTAGATAAGCAGTTGCTGACCTGGTTCGTTGCTCTCCCAGCAGCATGCTGCCCACCTGGACGGTCTTCAGCTGAGGGCAGATGTCTTCAATCTGAGGGCAGATGCAGAGGAAGGCCTTTGGCTCAGTCTTTTCTCCTTGTTCCTCTTGCCCTGCAGATCCTGGCCTGGGGGCTGAGGAACCTCAAGAGCTACCAGCTGGCCAGTGTCACATCTCCCAGCCTGCTGGTAGAGTGTGGGGGGCAACTTGTGCAGTCCTGTGTCATCAAGAACGTCAAGAAAAACCCCAACTTCGACGTCTGTGTGCTCTTCATGGAAGTGGTGAGGACCTCTTCATGGGGTTGGCTGGTAGAGCTGGTTTGGACAAGCAGTAGAACCACAGATTGGGAGCTGGAGGGAATCACAGAAGGGTTTGAGTTGGAAGGGACCTTCACAGAACCATAGAATGGTGTGGGTTGGAAGGGATCTTCAAAGAACCATAGAAAGGTTTGGGTTGGAAGGGATCTTCATAGAACCACAGAAAAGTTTGGGTTGGAAGGGATCTTCATAGAACCATAGACAGGTTTGGGTTGGAAGAGATCTTCATAGAACCATAGAATGGTTTTTGTTGGAAGGGATCTTCATAGAAACTCAGAATGGTTTGGGTTGGAAGGGATCTTCATAGAACCATAGAATGGTTTGGGTTGGAAGGGACCTTCATAGAACCATAGACAGGTTTGGGTTGGAAGGGATTTTCATAGAACCATAGAATGATTTGGGTTGGAAGGGATCTTCATAGAAACTCAGAATGGTTTGGGTTGAAAGGGATCTTCACAGAACCACAGAAAGGTTTGGGTTGGAAGGATCTTCATAGAACCATAGAATGGTTTGGGTTGGAAGGGATCTTTGTAGAACCATAGAATGGCTTGAATTGGAAGGGACAGATCCTGTGCTTCACCACCTTCAGCATGAAGAACTTTTCATAAGTTGGAGGGGCTGGCGGGGATTTCTGGAGGTCCCATATAAAACCCCACCCTATGGTGAAGATACTTCTCCCCATTTGGTTCCATCTTCCTTGCCCTGCGCCCACAGCGTCTGCCCAGCGAGAGCCTCTACAGCCCCCCCATCATCATCAAAATCATCGACAACCGCCCGTTCGGCCGCAGGCCCGTGGTGGGGCAGTGCACCATCCGCTCTCTGGAGGAATTCTACTGTGACCCCTATGCTGAGGAGGCGGACGGTGCCCAGGAACATGCAGGTACGTGGGGAGGGGCTCCGGGGGGCTCTGCTGGGATGTGTCACAGCCAATGTGCCCAACGTGAGCGAGGGCATGGCTGAGTTTGCTCCTGGAGCTCGATCCGGAGGTGGCTTTGGGGGTCTGTAACAGCTGGAGCTCATGTTTATCCTTGTCCTGATTGCAGATGATGTAAGCCTCACGCCCAGGGATGATGTCCTCATTGACATCGATGACAAAGAGCCTCTCCTTCCCACCCAGGTATGGAGAAAGTCGCGTCGTTTCCTTGCTTTGTGTGGCACGGGTGCAGTGGGACATCCAGGAGGGCAGTGGGACATCCAGGAGGGCAGTCCTGGGCTGTGGCTGCAGAGGATGGAGCACTCTGTGAGGAGCAGAGGGGCTGCAGTGGTGCAGGCATCCTGTGGGTCCCCTGGTCCCACCAAACCCAGGAATACGGGGACACATTCCTTTCTGTGCACACCCAGCCACCTTCATGCCGTGCACCGGGATGTGTCCCTGTGAGCCTTTTTTTTTTTGCCTTTGCAAACCTGCTTGGGTCACTGAGGAGCATTTTGTTCCCTGCTTGCCCTGCTTCAATATCCTCCCACATGAGGGTTGGCTCTGCAGCAGCAAAATTGAGGATTTCTGGCACGGTGTTCTTGCAGGTGTTGCAGTGGGACCCCCAGGATGGGTGGCACGGGGCTGCAGGGGGCTCTCCAGCCCCCCAGTAGATGCCTGGAGCCCTTGGGCTGCTTTGAGCCCACTGAAAACATCTGAGCCTTGGGCCAGTCCTGGAGAAGTGGCCAAAGTGCTCCTTTTCAGCATTTTCAGAGTGCAAAACTTGGGCCTTCTTTACCAAAGCAAACATTTCCAAAACAACCCCCCTGACGTGAGCTGAGTGGCTCTGTTGGACCCCAGATGGATTCTCCTCCTTTTGTTTCTTTCAATTCTGCCCTTTGTTTGGGAGCGGGGGAGGAGGTAGCAGTTTGTTCCTGGAAAGCCAACCCAGAATTCCCACCATCTCCCTCCCCGACCCCAAATCCTGGCCCTGACCCCACTCCTCCCGCAGTCAGAGGTTGGGTGACGGCTGTGCTGGTGGTCCCACACCCGTGGAGGGGTCGGGGGATGAAGGAGCCCTCAGTTTCACGAGGATGGGGACAGTTCCCAGGTGTGCACAGTGTGTGGCTCTGGAGCTGCTCCCCAGCCTGCCCAGCTTGGCCTCCATCCCCCTGCTGGATGATGGGAACAAAGGACTGCTGTGTTGTCCCCGTCAGGAGAGAGAAAACGAACAGATGCAAAACTGCTCTGCACTGAGGCTGCGTGGTGCATTGCGTGCAAGCGGAGGGGGAGGTTCAGCCCGAGGTCTGCTCAAAGCCAGGCTGTGTGCAGTGCTGCAGTTAGCAAATGCGAAGAAAAAGCAGCTCCTGGGGCTCACACAAAGGCAGTATTTCTGCAGCAGGATCTTCTGGGCTCAGCCTTTCTGCTTTGCTCCTCTGTAGGATGCACGCATGGTTTGGCTGTGCAAGGGCTGAGCGTGCACATGCATGGTGTGGGTCAGCCCCGCTCGCTCTCTCCTTGTTCTCCACGCTCTCTCCTTGCTCCTCATCCTTGTGGGAAGCAGAGCAGAAAGACAACCCCAAGGTCCACCTGCAGAAGTTCTCTTCTTGTTGATAAAACCATCACAGGGTTCACAGAGTCAAGGAACCATTAGGGTTGGAGAAGACCACCCAACCCATCCCCACCATGCCCACCCATAGAACTGTAGAAACATTAAGGATGGAAGTGGCTTCTAAGACCACCCAGTCCAACCCCAACCCACCCCACCAAGCCTGCTCACGGAATCATAGAAACATGAAGGTTGGAGAAGACCTCTAAGGTCACCAAGTCCAGCTATCAACTCATCCCTCACGGCACAGCTGTGAGCACGGTCTTCCCTGCTTGACCCAAACTCCACCATGTGCCCAGTTGGACCCCAGCCCCTTGTGTTATGGACTCCATGGCCCTTGGCTCATAGGAGGAGGTGCTGCCCCGTGTTGGGACAGACAGCACTTCTCCTACAAGGTGCTTTCATCTGTTAGCCATTGTTTCTCTAACCGTGTTGCTAACCAGTCATTTTAATTTGTAGCTTGTGGAGGGCATGACCAGCTCAGCACTAATTAACCCTCCAGCTTCTCGGTCCGAGCCTCAAGTAGGTATCGCTTCATTTCTAACTTGCTTGATTAATTGCTTTAATGAACTATACGTGTATATGTATGTCAAGATCAGCAAAAATAGACATTTCTTTCTGCAATGACCAACACTCAAGCAGACGTAGCATGGATGTCCCACTAGAGCTGGTCACTGGGGTCCCATGAAAACACAGGACAGAGGGAGGTGTCTGCAAAGCTCTGTGCTTTTCACCTGCTTTGGATGGATGCCTTAAGAACCATGCTGGAAAGGGAACTGTTTGGAGGCAGTTTTCCATCCTCCTCTTTTTTTAATTGCTTTTACAGAGCATGGCACAACAGGAGCTGAATCCCCACGGCTCCCTGTGGCTTGGGATGCTTTGGTTGTATGAAACACAAACAACCCATCGAATGGGAAGTCAGCAAAGCCATCCCAATCAAAGGAAAACAAAAAAATCAGAATCTGTAAACTGTTTGGCGTGATTGGTTATTTGCTGTGTTGGCTAGTTCCAAAATCAGAGCACATATTTTACAGCTTATCCTGTTACCATCAGCTGGAAGGGCTCTTGGTGTTGGATATCTCCTGGTGGAAGCGGGTGCCAATGGCCTGTGCTGCAGCCCAGCTGTCCCCAGTGCTCTGGCTGGCTTTGTTCTCCTGCTGCTCTGTCCATGCTTGGGGACAGCCCATGGCACTGCTGCTGACGTGCTTGGGGCGTGGGATGTGCGTGGGGACAGCCCATGGCAGCGCATGGGACACGCTCAGGGCTGGTCTCTGCAGTGGGCTGAAGGATCAGGATAAGCTGAGGATAACCCAGGGGAAAATTCCTCCTTGGGAAGAGCTTGAGGTGAGGGATATGGGGAGGTGATGGGCATGAAGAAGTCTTCCTCAGCTCCCTGGGTGTAGGGTGAGTCATCCATCCCAGTGCCTTGGCCAGGGTCTCCTGGCTGGGACTCACACTGGAGCAGAGGAGTGCAGACGTGGTGTTGTCTGAGGCTGAGACCCGGGGTACCATCTGCAGAAACACCATAACCAACATCACGGGAGGTGAACCCGTAAAGGGTCGAGCTGTTTTGGCAGAGATCTGCTCATCCCAGCTGCAAAGCTTCCTCCCAGCAGGAAACCTGCTGCCCAGATGGGATGTCTTGAGTCTGGGGCAGCGGCTCAGCTTCTCTGGAGGCAATATTTATTAGCGCTGTAATTATCTATTATTCCCACAGAGACATGTGAAATTATTAGAAGAGCAAAAATAACAATTAGGACTTCAGTTCTGCCATACCTGCTCTGCTCCTGGCTTTGCTGTCCAGCCAGTAACTTGTTTGTGCCTCAGTTTCCCCACCTATGATGTGGTTGAGGTTCACCAGAACCCAACACACCCATTCCAAGGCAACTCCTCAGCTTCCCACAGCTCTTTTTGCTGCAGGCTGAAATGACCCGTCCAGTGCATTTTGTGAAGCACATCGGGTTGTGTTGGGTTGTGTTGGGTTGTGTTGTGTTGTGTTGCGCAGTGTTGGGTTGTGTTGCATAGTGTTGAGTTAGGTTGGGTTGCGTTGGACAGCAGGTCTGCATTTAGGGGGCTGGAGGAGGAAAGGAGCTTAGTGCCCCCGACAGCTGCCTGCTCAGCCATGTCTGCGTCCCCTGGGTAAAGCCCTACACTGAGACCCATCACGACTCAACCTCCTCTGGGTTACCTGGAGGGGGATCCAGGATGCTGAGTCTTCAAAGGAGTCTGCAGAGTGTTGGTGAGGTTCTGATTGTAAAGGGATTTGTTTTGAATCCAAATTTCTTTGTTTTGGAGATGGCCCCCTGGATTGTCAGTACAGGGACACCCTGCTGCTGAGGGCTCTCCCGGTACCCTGGGTGCTCGGGGAGATGCTGATGGGATCCCACTCAGCTTCTTCTGGCTGAAACAGCCCTGTCCCTCTTCCATCCCACACCACATCCAAGAGCAAACCCCAGGGATGCTGTTGGCTGTCACCCAATGGCTGAACCCCACCCATGGTGCAGCCATCAGCCCCTCGCTTTTCCATTTGGATGGATTAACATCCTTCACAGTTAACATTCCCGTTGCTCTTTTCCCCTCCATGGGTAGAAATCAGCAAAATTATCTAACCTGGCTGTGTCTCAGGGTGCAGAAGATACCCTGGATTAGTCTGAGTGCTTTCTTTGTAACTCAGTACCTGTGGAATGTCGCAGTAAAGCCGCGGTGGTCGGAGCGTGGCTTTTTGAACAATAAAACAGGGGAAGCGATGAAAGGCAGCATTTTAAAAAATAAAAATAATAAAAAAAAAGGGGAGGCACGGAGGCCTCGGAGCTAATTTATGCAATATTTCTATTAAAAACAATGTCTATTCAAGACAGCAATTTAGAGTCTGCACCGCTGGCTTAAAATATAAACCCAATAAACCTCCGTTATGATTCCTCCATGAGGTCAGTGTGATGGAATTCTGTGGACTTCTAAAATAAGACATCATTATTTTTCAGGAATGTTTCAGGAATCGCAGTCAGAGCCCCTTCATCTTTGCCTGCACAGTTTTCAGAAGCGCTGCTCTCGTAAAACGCTTTTCTTCTTGGAACAGCATCCCCAGAGCTGGAGTGCTGTTTGAACAGCAGATGGGGCAAACGCTCCTCTATGGCACCGTGGGGATCTCAGGGGTCTCCATCCCTTGTGTTCTGTGCTTCTGAGCCCCGTTGGCGGGGATGAGCTCACCCTGGGCTGTGCTCACAGGGATGTGTCACTGTGCTGCTCTTTGCCACCAGGAGGAAGAATTCATTGACTGGTGGAGCAAATTCTACGCTTCCACAGGGGAGAGGGAGAAGTGTGGCTCCTACCTGGAGAAGGGCTTTGACACCCTGCAGGTAAGTGGCCTGGGTTGGGTCCGGCTCGCTGCACCCCAGCTGTGATGTTCTTCCACTGACCTTGCTTTTGTTTTTGAGTGTTGAGCCTTTTTTTTTCCAAAGTGAAAAAAAAACAACAAACACGAGATGACTTTCCCCAGAGCGTAGGTGATTTTGTTGTTAAAAACACCTATTTTTTCTGTTTTGAAAAGCTGACTTCCTTTGCAAAGTATGTTCTGGTAGCATCTCTACTTTGCAGCCTTCGAGATCTTGCTGTTTCACTACGTGGTGGAGGAGGGGGGGGAATGCTGCCCTTTGGGGAGAACAAGGAAAAGTGGAGATTGCTGGGAGGTGGTGGTGGTGGGGATTTAGGTGACACACTGCAAGGAGTGCCAAAAATAACACCAAATCCAAGTCGGACCAAAGCAGGGTAAACCTTGCCTGGTCCTAAGGGAGGCGCTCCCAGCAAGGAGCAGCCTGGATGATGGAAGATCCTTTGGGCCACCTTGGCACGGTCTGGAGCTCCTGTGATGCACTTTTTGTTTTGGTAGGGTTGCCAAAGTTCTGATCTTCAGGTGGGGATGGCAGGGATGTCCTTTTGGGTGGTGTTGCCTTCAGGCTTGGGTCACTCTTGTCCTGGATCTGTTGGGGTGCAGCTGCCCTTTGCTTCTCCTTCCCCAGGTCTATGAGACGGAGCTGGAGCGCGTGGAGGCCTTCGAGCAGCTCTCTGACTTCTGCCACACCTTCAGGCTGTACCGAGGCCGGGTGCAGGATGCCAACGACGATCCTTCAGTCGTGGGCGAGTTCAAGGTGGGCAGAGAGGAACCTGGTGGGTTTCAGTAAGGGCAAGTGTAGGGTCCTGCACCTGGGGACGAACAACCACAGCAACTGTGCAGGCTGGGGGCTGAACTGCTGGAGAGGAGCTCTGTGGAGGAGGAGCTGGCTGTCCTGGTGGCCAGTTGTTGACCAATGGTCAACCATAGGATGAACCATCAGAGTGCCCTAATGGCCGAGAAGGTGACACAAACGTTGTCCTGGTTGGCCATTGGTTGACCAACAATTGGCCAACAGTTGACCACAGGGTGTCCATGAACCAGCAGGGTGCCTTGGTGGCCAAGAAGGTGACACAGCCTCCTGGTTGACCAGTGGTTGACCATCAGTTGACCAGTACTTGACCATAAGCCAGCAATGTGCCCTGACGGCCAAGAAGGAGACACAAATAGTCTCCTGGTTGACCAACGGTTGACCAGTGGTTGACCATCAGTTGACCAATAGTTGACCATGAGCCAGCAGGGTGCCCTGGTGGCCAAGAAGGCCAATGGGACCCTGGGTGCATTGCAGAGCGTGGCCAGCAGGGCAGGGAGGTGCTGTCCCAGCCATCTCTGTGAGCTGTTGCACGATCCCCATCCTCAGTGTGATCGAGTACATCTGTCCTTCTCAGGGTTCCTTCAAAATCTACCCCCTGCCTGACGACCCCCGCGTGCCGCTGCCACCTCGACAGTTCCACCAACTGCCAGCCAGGGGTCCCCAGGAATGTCTTGTCAGGGTCTACATCATCCGTGCCTTTGGTCTGCAGCCCAAGGATGCCAACGGGAAGGTACGCTGCTGTGGGGCTGTGGGAACCCCCAGCTCTGAGCACAGCACCACGATAGGTGACCAAAGTGTGGAAGTCAGGGTGGTGGTGACAGCATAAGGAATGGTCCCCTTCTTTCTTCCTCTGCTGCAACATCTGGGAATCCCAGCAGCTGACTCTTCCCCCATCCTAAGGACTGGTTAAAATAGCTCAAGGAGATTTATTTTATTTTATTTTATTTTTCCTCGGTGTCAAAGGAAGGAAAAATGATGGCTTTCACATCACTGCTTTCTTTGCTGAGCTTTGCCAGTCCAGTGCAAAAAGAAAATTGTGTTGGTTCAAAAAGAAAATGCTCTTTGTTTCAGTTTGAAACAAACAAACAAACAAAAAATATCCTCAGAACTCAGAGAAAAATCCTTCGTAACCCTCTTTGCTCCACTGGAAAATAGGGATAAAGTCTTAGCTTTCACATTTGGGTCCTTTGTGTTTGAAAATCTGTTTCTGAGTTGAGCCAATTCCCATCGCCATCGCCATCGCCATCCCATCCCCATCCCATCTCATACCCACCCCATCTCATCCCCATCCCGTCCCCACCCCCATCCCCATCCCATCCCATCTCATCCCCATCCCCACCCCCACCCCCATCCCCACCCCCATCCCCATCCCCATCCCCATCCCATCCCATTTTCTCATGCAATGACTTGCTCTGATGTTTTCATGCCCACCTTTAGTGTGATCCCTATGTGAAGATTTCAGTGGGAAAGAAATCCATAAATGACCAAGAAAATTACCTCCCCTCTACGCTGGAGCCTGTCTTTGGAAAGTAAGTTCTGGTTCTGCGTGGATTCCGTGAGGTTTCTGTGTCATTTTGAGGGAATAGAGCTGGGCTCTAGCCAGAGCTTCCCATGCCCTTCCATGCTCTTGGCTCTCAGTCTGACCCACCCAACTACTTGATGTCATTGTTTGCCCCGTGGTAGTTTGGATAACAGGCAACAAATAAGGATGATTTCGGAAAAAGCCCTTCCTTAGGGCTGGAAGGCACCACGGGGAGCGGGCAGAGCCTGGTGGTCAGCCTCCACATGCCTGGAGGGTCTCCTTGAAGAGCTGAGACGTTGTGTAGGGCGTTGTGTTTCAGGACAGCGGTTCATAGAATCACAGAATGATTGCAAAGGAGCACAGCGCTCATCCAGTTCCAACCCCCTGCTATGTGCAGGGTCCCCAACCAGCAGCCCAGGCTGCCCAGAGCCACATCCAGCCTGGCCCTGAATGCCTGCAGGCCCTGTGGTGTGTGGGGTCCAGCTGGTTGCCTTGGGGTCTCAGCAGCTCAGGCTGTCAGTGCTGTGTCTCTTTTCCCCCCCCACCCCCCCAAAAAAAGAGGGGGAGTGGGCGCGACGCCAAAGGCAATGAGCAAAAAGGATAAGGATGGCACTGGGTGAGGGCTTGGAGGACGCCATGGGTAGACAGGTTCTCTCTCCTCTTTGACCGAACAGAGAGGGCAGCTCTGTTTTCCCAGGGGGCAGAGGGGGGCACGTCCCCTGCTGCAGCAGCTGGCTCCCGGCCACGGGCCGTCTAGACGGCGGCCTCACCTCCCACCCAGCCTTTACAGCGTGGTGGAACAGCGAGGTCCCGGCTGCTGGCGGCTGTTAAACCTCCCTTTTCATGAGCTTTTCCCCTGGCTGCCTTCCAGCTCTCGCTAATTACTTTCTGCTGACCCCCAGCTCCTCCTGCGCTCTTAATTGGTGGCATAATCGCTCGCTTCCCCTCCTTCAAGGCTGCCGTGGGTTGGTTGGGGGGCTGCAAAGCGGAGGATCCTGGTGGTGCTGGGAGGGACCCGGGCTGTCCTGTCACCCTGTGTCCTTCCCCATCTCCAACAATGGCTCTGTTTGCATTGCATGTCGTGCTTTGGTAGGGCTTTGGTACTTCGTCTCTTGTCACCCTGTATTTGAAGAGGCAGAGGAAGGTTTGCTGTGTGTTACGTTGGAATGCAGGCTGCTGTAGTGATGGCAGAGCAGACAGCACAAAATACAGAGCTTGGGACCAGCAGAAGAGGGTGAGGAGGCTTTGGGGGTGGCCCATCCCCTGCTGACATCACGCTTGTCCCCTTGTTTTAGATTTATGCCCTTTGGGCTCAGAGATCAGATGGTTTTCCAAAGCTGTCATTTCTCCCCCATTCTCCCCCCGTGGTGATGAGGGCTCTCAGTGCCTGCTCTTTTCCCTGGATGTTGCAGTGGCTGCACTAATTAGCAGATGGAGGGACTAAGGAAGAGCAAAGCTTGCTCAGAGTTGCTTGATGGATCTCCACCAGCAAAGGCAGCGCAGCGCAGCGCCGATAGAGTCGTAGAGTCAGCTAGGTTGGAAAAGACCTTCAAGTCCAGCCATCACACCAACCCATGGGGCAAAGATGTGCAGTGGTGGCACCTTCCTGGTGGGGCAGTGTGTAGGGTTTGGTTCAGCAGCACGACCCCCATCCCGTGGACATGTATGGTCTGATTTTCGGGTGGTGCTGCAGTGAGGAGCCCGGATTTAGACGTTTTGATCCTTATGTGTCCTTTCCCACCTGAGATATTCTGTGGTTCTCTGATTTCTCTGTTCCCATTGCACAGGATGTTCGAGTTGAGCTGCACTCTGCCCCTGGAGAAGGACCTGAAGGTCACGCTCTATGACTACGACCTCCTATCCAAGGATGAGAAGATTGGGGAGACCATCATTGACCTGGAGAACCGGTTCCTGTCGAAATATGGGGCACGCTGTGGGCTTCCCCAGACCTACTGTGTGTGGGTATCTGCAGGCTGCTGAGGTTTTGTGGAGCCGAGGTGACCCTGGGGCAGTTCCTCAGCCCTTGGGGTGATGGGTGCCCTGGTTTCAGCTGGGTTGGGTCTGGGGGCTGTTGGGCACTCAGCTGACTCTGATGGGACTCACAGCCCCTCTCACCAGTGGGCCCCTCGTTGAGGTTGGAGGTTTTTGCCTTGTGCTGAACTGCTGCTTTCTCCTGTTTGGTTCCAGCTCTGGGCCCAACCAGTGGCGAGATCAGCTCCGTCCCTCCCAGCTGCTCCACCTCTTCTCCCTGCAGCACCACTGCAAGGCTCCCACCTACACGTCCGACCGGCTCATCTTCAGGGAGCAGGAGTACATCCTCTCCGAGCTGGGTATGGGGCTGCTGTGGGGCTGTGGGTGGATTCCCTTCACCCAGAACAGGGGGTGGTGTTGGGGGGTTAGGAATGCATCCAAGGGTTGGACCCAAACCTCCCATTTTTTTCGCCCAGAGGGTGGTGAGGCAGTGGAACAGGTTGCCCAAGGAGGCTGTGGATGCCCCATCCCTGCAGGCATTCGAGGCCAGGCTGGATGTGGCTCTGGGCAGCCTGGGCTGCTGGTTGGTGACCTGCACACAGCAGGGGGTTGGAACTGATGGTCATTGTGGTCCTTTTCAACCCAGGCCATTCTGTAGTCCTACAATCCACCATAACCACAGCCTCACCCTTCCCTTGGGTGGCTGGGAGCATCATGCCCTTGGTGGCAAGCTCTAGCCCAAGTTCTATCACAGCCCATGTGATTTGGGGCTGGGGTCACTAGGGGGAGACAATATCACACACGATGCCAGTGCACTGCAGCTCACACCTTGAAGGAGATGCCACCCAATGCAGCAGAGACATTCTTTTGGTTTGCCCCAAAAGCCACAAACGTGAATGCCTGAAATTCCCTGAGCATCCATTGGTGCCCATCCCAGGGGTTCCAGAGGCAGAAGGGAGGGCAGGTTGGGCTCAGGGTGGAGATGTGACCCCCCCAACTGGGCCCAGGAGCTGCACTTTGGACAGCACGACCCAGGGCTGATGCCCACCTGTGCCCTGGGATCAGGGCACAAATCTGTGATGCTGACACAGGAGGAAGGCAGGGCTCCTTCAGAGCCTTTTGTTATGTGAAAGGCTTTCAGAGAGGGCTGGAGAGGTGTTAAGCGAGCGGGGTCTTCCCCCCTCTCCCAGCCCTTGCCTTTCACCTTCCTCTGCTTTAATGGCAATCAGTTCAAAAAAACAGAACAAAGTCTGATGCTTGACCTCGAGGAGATCTGGAAACCAGCTGTGTGTGTGGAGCGGTGTCAGATCTGAACCTGGTGGTATAAAGTGAGGCTATTAAACACGAGAGCATGGATTTTACAAGCCCTGCAGCCGAACCATTATTCCATAACCCCCACATTTGTTGTTTTCTGAGAGGGGCTTTTTCTTTTCCTGCATGCACACGCACACACACACAGGTTTCCACTGCTTGGGAAATGGCCCATCTGTCTGAAGTTAACCACTTCAAGATCTTGCCAAGAAAGGAGCTGGGATACATCACCTGAAGGTTGCAGAGCTGCAATAGTATTTATGGAACGCATTTCATTTCAAAGGTCCTCAAAGGTGCACGGCCCTGAAGTGCTGTGGCTGTGAGCAGCCATCCTGGTGAGGTGGCAGCCATGTCCCAGTATGGCCATGGGGACCAGGACTCACCATCCTCTCCTTTCTGACTGCCACCCAAACCCATAGAGGAGGACACTGCAAGGAGCTCATCTCACTGCCCAGCCAAAGTTCTTGGCTGCTTTTAGACTGTAGAGCTGTGGAGTTGGGAAGGGTTCCATCCATGCATGCATCCATCCATCCATCCACCCATCCATCTGTCGAGTCCAACCATCACCCCACACTGCACATCCACCATTGCACCACATCTTTAAGTGCCACATCCTCGTGTCCTGCAGGGATGGGGACTCCCCCACCCCCTGGGCATGGTGTTTCCATGCCCTATCCGTGCAGAAATCCTTCCTGATAGCCAACCTACCCAGCTGTAGGAAGGCAGCTGAGCCTTCCCTCTCTCTTAGAGGGCTTCGAGCATGCACAGGGCAACGTCTGCTGGTGATGGCAGCAATGTGGGTTGGACTGGGAGTTGCGAGGAGGAAAGGAAACAGAGGGATGGAGATGGGGTGGGTACGTGGGGTTATGGCTGTGGGGCTGTGGTGTAACCCCAGCTGCTGTGATTCTGGGCTGGTTGAACCCTTGGAGGCACCGCAAGCCAAACCAAACCCCAGATCTTTCTGCTTCAATGCGGTCCTTGCACTGTTTGCAAAGAGAGGGATAGTGCTGCTTGCTCCCCTGGCATAACGCTGCTCTTGGTTTGCATTTGGCAGAGGATGGCAAGCCCCACAACCCTCACCTGGGACCAGCAGAGGAGCGGCTGGCCCTGCATGCACTGCGGAAACAAGGGCTGGTGCCAGAGCACGTGGAGACCCGGCCCCTCTACAGCCCCCTGCAGCCAGAGATCGAGCAGGTGAGCTTTGGGCTGGGACGTGGCTGGGAGCATCCCCTGCTTCCTACCCAGTGCTGGGGCAGCCTTGAGTTGCTGTAGAATGGTAAGGATGCTGCAGGCTCCTTTGGCAGTGCAGTGGGAACGAGACGTCAGAGGTATGACATCTTGGTGCCATTGCAGAGTGGCTGTTTTTAGCCAAACAAAAGCCAAGTGGGCCTCTGTCCAAAATGAATCAGGAGTTAGGTATCTGTAGGTAGCCTAGCCCATTTCACTAACGTGCACGTGTACTTTTTGCATTTGGATCAAAAGATGCTTCTTCCCAGTGAGCACAACCATTTGTCCTCATCCCTCTTACGTGTTCCAGCTGCACTGCAAAGCTGGTTTATGCAGCCAGTTCTGCAGAACCACCTTTTTTGGTTCATTTTTAACCAGTCCAGTGTGGGAGAGGGAAGCTGCCAGCAGGCATAAATGCCCTGGCAACCGCTCTAACAATTTTCCACCTTAATTCACCCGCTGAAATTCGTGATTAGAGCCAGGAGGTGGCTGCTGTCAGCTGGCCATTGGGTCTGTGCTGTCCTCACAGCTGCCACGTGCTGTTGTCACACTGGGGCAGCTGTGGGGACAAAGAATCACTGAATCACAGGATCATTAAGGTTGGACGTCCAACCATCAACACATCCCCACCATGCCTGCTCACAGGATCATTACGGTTGTGAAAGTCCTGAATGTGTTTGTGCTGCTCACTCCCTGGAAGGGCTGTGTGAAGGCAGAGTGAGATCCTGTCCCCCTCGTCCCGTCCTCCATCCAATGGTCAGAAACCCACAGAGCAGCTGTTCAGCTGGGGGCAGCTGCTGTGACACAGGAAAACCAGTGGGCTGCTTGTGTTTCCCACACACCTCCCTTCAGTCAGCTCTTTGTAGACATCTTCAGCCTCGGAGAGCAAACCTCGAGTGCAGCTTCAGTAGTCCAGAATGACCTCTGATGCATCTCAGGCCATTAATACATACCCAAGGATCACTAAAATAATCCTCATGCAGCACTCAATGAGACTTTTCTGGTAGAGGACCCGTAGTTTCAGTGAAGAAACCAGGGAGCACGTGGTATTTCCTGCACCCACTGCTCGGTCCTGCTGAGGAGTGAAGCTCAGCCAGACAGGAGGCTCATCACACTTCACCTCTTTTCTTTCCAGGGAAAGCTACAGATGTGGGTGGACCTGTTTCCGAAATCCTTGGGTCAGCCTGGCCCCCCTTTCAACATCACACCACGCAAAGCCAAGAGGTGAGCAGTTCTTCCATTCCCAGTTGGTGGCGTCCATTGGTGCAGCGTTGGCTTTTTGTTCTTTATCAGTGTGGTGGTGGCTCCTGCACCTCCTTGTGGTGGAAGAGGAGGGGACTTGGAGATGTCAGGTTAAGCATCCAGGCCGTTGGGAGGGTTTTAAATTGAGGTTCCCACCTTTCTCATCTCAATCCCACGTCCAGGTTCTACTTGCGCTGCATCATCTGGAACACCAAGGATGTCATCCTCGATGACCTCAGCATCACCGGGGAGAAGATGAGTGACATCTATGTCAAAGGGTGAGCCTGCTCACTGCTGTGTCTTCTGGGTGCCTTGGCCTTGAAGCTGAAATATGGCAGCGAAGGGGTTGACGCAGCCATGCAGTGCAGTGTGCGCCCCGTGGGATGAAGGGGCTCCTCCAACAGTTGGGTGCTCACGATGGTTGTGCATGGAAGGGTGAGATCTGGGGAAGCAGCCTTGCTGTCAGGGCTTGGATCTGCCCATCCCCCTCCTGGCACAGCCCTGGGGATGTTCTGTGTATGTAGGTTGGCTTCACTGCAGAGCTGACTTTTTTTTTTTTTTGGAATTCCCCTTTTTTTTCTACCTTGAAACACACAAAAATGTGGCAACCAGCAGTAATTCCTTTGGCGCATTCCCTTCTCTGCCTGACTCCATTTATGTTTTATCTCGTGTAAAATGGTGCAGTCCCAGCCAAGGGACTTACTTATTTTGCGCATTCTTTGGATTTACGCACAGGAAGAGGTAGGATTTTGAAACAGACTGCAAATCCCTTTTTTACAATCCTAATTTTCCTCCTGTAAATCCAGAATGCGAGCTGCTTACCTGGAATTCACATCAGGCGTGTTGTTATCAGCTCCAGCCACGCTCCCCGTGCACCTCGGGGCTTGGGAGCTCTTGGAGAGGGTTATGGCAAGGCGAGAGCACGCAGTGCCTGGTGGGATCCCTCACCCCTGCTGACCCATCCACTCTTATGTGCTGTAAATGAGTGAAAAAAATCTTGCCTGGCTTCCTAAAGTCTTTCCCCACGTGGCTGCATCGTTCCCATTTCTGGATACAGCCTTTGTATTCAGATGCTGCACTTGGGGACGTGGCCATTGGGCATGGTGGGGTGGTTGGGGTTGGCCTTGGGGATCTTAGAAGTCTTTTCAAAGCCTAATGATGCTGTGATCGTCTGAGTGGGCATGGTGGTCGTGGGTTGGTGATCCTGGAGGTCCACTCCAACCCTAATGATGCTGTGATTGTCTGAGTGGGCATGGTGGTCGTGGTTGGTAGTTGGAGTTGATGATCCTGGAGGTCTGTTCCAACCCTAATGATGCTGTGATTGTATGAGTGGTGGTTGGACTTGATCTTAGAGGTCCTTTCCACCTTTATGGCTCTATGAAAATATGTAGGTTGTTGCTTGCCAGTTAGGGAGGGAAGTGAAATAAGTGCTTTGGTATTGTGCAAGAAGCCACCTGCCCTTTATTTTAATTAAGTGAAGGTGTTTATTGGCAGTCTGAAAAAGATCTCAGCCATTGTTGCTGTTGTAGGTGGGGGGTATTTTTGTATTGCTTTCATAGTCCAATTTCCAATAGAGCTTTTCTCCAAGCGGATGGACCTGAAGGATTATGTGGGAGGTGGGAGGCTCTCACTCATCTTCCTGGGATGTTTCAAGATATTGGGAGAGAAAAGCAGCCCTGCTTTGAGCAGCCTGGGTAGAAGCTTCTGGAGCCCTCTTTCAGCCAAGCACCACTACAGTGATTTATGTGATATCATTTGGCATCTTTAAACATTGTCTTCCTGTCTTCCTGAGTAATGGGATGGCTTTGGTCCACCAAGAGCTTATAAGTGAAGTAGAGAGTAGATGTGGCATTTAGGGGCACAGTAGGGATGGATTGATGGTTGGAGTAGATGATTTTAGTGGTATTTTCCAACCTTAATGGTTCTGTGAAGCGTGCTGAGCTCAGTGGGAGAATCCTACGAGTGGATGTGTTGTCTTGTTTTGTATTTTTGTTGATTGCTGAAGGCTGGAAACTCTTGGAGGAGGAAGAAGGGCGGAATGAGAACCTCACACTTGCAAAACTCACTGCTGGAAAAAAGCAGTGGTGGTGGAATGCTTTTCATTTGACCCTGGGTAGGTTGAGGACTGGGGGGGTGGAACTGGGCTGCTGGGACCACCCTGGGCACAGCAGGGTGAAGCCATACAATGATAGAATTTCCCAGGTTGGAATGGGCCCATAAGGATCGTTGAGTACAATTCCTATGAGGGTTTCATGGGGAAGGGCTCCTTGGTCGTTTGGGATCTCCAGGGAGTCATTCCCAAGAAGCTGATAGAGAATAGAGGAAAAAAATGGGCCTTTACTTCTTCATTGTGTTGCCTCCATCAAGAGGACTGGTGTTAGTGTGTTGGGGTGGCTGCGAAGAGAAAAGGAGCTCTCACCAATGCAGATTAGAAGCCGAAGTTGGAAAAGACCTCCAGGATCCCCCGTGTCCAACCACAACCCACTCCACCATGTCCCCAAATGCCACATCTCCACGGTTCTGGGACACCTCCTGGGACAGAGATCCCACCACATCAGCCCTGTGTTTGCGTTTTGCAGCTGGCTGGTTGGCCACGAGGAGAACAAGCAGAAGACAGATGTGCACTACAGGTCGATGGGAGGAGAAGGCAACTTCAACTGGAGATTCATCTTCCCCTTCGACTATCTGCCTGCCGAGCAAATGTGTTGCATTGCAAAAAAGGTGAGTGTCTCCGTGCTGATGTTTGTGCCTTCCTTGGGCTGATCTGCCTGACCAGATGCAAGTCAGTGGCCAACAGGTTATTGTTTGTGTAGAGGAGAGTGTCTGCCCCATGTGGTTTTGTAGCTTTGCTTCTATGTGCAGAGGAACACATCAGAATATTGTATGGAGAGACCAATGCCCCCCTCTGGCATGGAGGCAGCTGAGCGTTGGTGCAGCAGTGTCAAAATGTTCTGAGTTGTGTGGGGCCTCAGCGGTGGGGCTGCTCTGCAGATGGAGGTGATGTTCCTGTGGGATGGTTGGATGGTGCCTGCCCAACCATATGGATAGAGCCTGCCCAACCACGTGGATAGAGCCTCCCAACCACGTGGATGGTGCCTACCCAACCATGTGGATGGTGCCTGCCCAACCATATGGATAGAGCCTATCCAACCACGTGGATAGAGCCTCCCAACCACGTGGATGGTGCCTACCCAACCCTGGCTCTGTCCCGGTCTCCAGCACTGCAGAACGGGCATTGCCCTGCATGAGCTGGGAGTGGGACTAGATGACCATTAAAGGTCCCTTCCAACTCAAACAATTCTATGATAACTTCATGGAAAGTCTAAAAAGGGGGAAAAGAATGGAGCAGTGTCTTGAAGGGATGCTCAGCAGCAGGGCATGCAGAGGAACAGCAGTTGGAATGTGCTGTTGTGCAGAGATGAGATGGAGATCTTTGCTTTGGGGTTCGAGGTGAAGATGCTCCTGGTCTGAAAAGAGAGCTGGTTCTTCAGGTGGGGATTAAAAACCAGGTGTGATTTTGGCTTCCTGGGAGGTGAAAACATTGAGCATTGCTTCTAGTGTTTCTTTGGTATGTCAGTGCAATGCTGTGATCAGATGTGGGTTTGTTGTGGATGCCCCATCCCTGCAGGCATTCAAGGCCAGGCTGGATGTGGCTCTGGGCAGCCTGGGCTGCTGGTTGGTGACCTGCACACAGCAGGGGGTTGGAACTGGATGAGGACTGTTGTCCTTTTCAAGCCAGACCATTCTGTGATTCTGTGACTCTATGATACTGTGAGTTTGGGGTTGCAAGGAAGAAAGGGAACAGTTGGATGGAAGGACTGGAAGGCTCTCAAGGAATGCGTTGGGGGAGGGAGTCCTCCTCACTTCCATTTCCTTCCCAGATCACCCGAAGGTTAACAGGCGTATTGCTGGGGCTGATGGCAGGGATAACCCTATGGTCATTCTGTGACACCTCCCTGAAAGCTCAGCCCCCCTCCCTGCCCTCCCACCCCCACCTGGAGTTGCTTTGGCTGTGGGGCGCTCAACGGCAGCTCCTTGCAGTGGGACCACCTGCGTCCCCAAAGCTCACCTGGGGCACCCCCAGCTTTTCCTCTGTGGGTCCCAGCAAGGCCTGGGTTGGGAGGGGTGAAGATGCTGAGCGAATCCCCCCCCCTCACCACCCCAGCCTCGAGCCAGACGATCCCTGCAAAGAGGCCTGGCTTCAAAATGAATTGCCGGATAGTTAAAGTGATTGACAGAATCACAGCGGTGCCCATTTCACGCTTCATGTTAAACAAATCAAAAGTACAGTGTGTACTACATTCAATTATCCCCCTTTGAAAAAGCAAAGACCCCCCCCTATAAACCGTTTAAGAAAATACATCCCACTGTGCTGATATTGATTCTCCTCCGACCGCATGTCTGCCAACACCGTATCAGAAAATAAACAGCTTGTAAAACCTCTCTGTAAAGGAAAAAATAATGAATGAAAAGCCGTGCTTTGTGTTTGCGGGGCGCATTCCGCTCTGGCAATTTTTTGATCTGGCCATGTGCTGTTTGAACTCAGGGTTCATTACTGCTGCTGTAAAAGCCCCGCGCTCCGAACTTTAAACGCAGGCGATGGAAAGTGGAATTTAAATCAAAATGGTCAGCTGGCAAACGCTGAGCTGCTAAAAGCCACCTGCACCCGGCATGGCTGGTGCTGCTCTGCGGGAGGAAAGCAGCCTGCAGTTTGCTCTCCTTTGTGTTCCCTTTGGGTGCAGCGTGGGGATGGGCCAACCCAACCCCAAGGGGAAATCACGTCCCTAAAGCGTGAGGATGGCAGTGTGCAGGGCTGGGGGAGAGCCCACCAACCTGGGGTGATCCAGGTGCTGCCTGCTGCAGCCAGGCTCGGGGAGCTTCATCTCCACAGCTTCACAGCTCTGGGATTTCATAGAGTCACAGAATGGCCTGAATTGCAAAGGAGCACAATGCTCATCCAGTTCCAACCCCCTGCTGTGTGCAGGTTGCCAACCAGCAGCCCAGGCTGCCCAGAGCCACATCCAGCCTGGCCTTGAATGCCTGCAGGGATGGGGCATCCACATCCCAATGCACCTCAAGGGAAAGCAGGAGCTGTGGACCATGCGGGTGTCAGTTCAGCTCACAGATGGGAAGCATGGGCTCCTGTCTTTGCTTCTCCAAACGTTTTAACCGTCTCAGGATGTTTGTCTACCCCTATCTTCTGTTGATGCAGCAGTGTTAGAAAAATGTTTCCTGAGAAAGGAGTTTGCCTCATTCTAGACCTCAAAAAAGATCCCCACAAAAGCTCAGCAGGAGGCAAGGTGTCAGGGACCATAGGATCACGGAATCACAGAGTCATTGAGGTGGGAGAAGACCTCTGGGATCACCAAATCCAACCCCAATCCATCCTACTGACCATGGCCCCCAGTGCCACGTCACCAAATCCCCAGTGTGCACCAAGGAGCCGCTCTGCCCCAGTGGGTTTTGATGTGAAATCACGAGAACCGAGCACTGATTTTTATGAAAAGCGAGATAATATTTCATTAGATTGAAATTTCCACTTCTTTTTGGTCTTGGAAAGTGAAACAAATAGAAGGGTTGCTGCTTTGGAACGTGGGACATGTTCCTCTCCTTTTTCCCATCCTTTATTGTGCCCCAAAGTACACAGTGTTCATTTCTTTCACCATGCAGCCAAAATGCAACATTTTGAGTGTGCTCCAAGTACCTTTTCTTCTTCCCTTTTGGGAAGAAGATGTAATTACACGAGATAGTCACGAATAAGGTATTTCAGTGTGTTGCAGACACAGTGATGCAACAATCTCTATCAACACAACCTGGCATGCACCAACAGCCTCTGTGATATTCCAGCAAAGTTCCTGCACTGATTTTTGCTTTCCAGTGTGGAAAGGGGTGAGCAAAACGTGGCTGAGTGGAGAGCTGAGGGCTGGCAGTGCTGCCAGACCCAAGAGGGACCCAACGCTTGGCAGTCCCATGATGGCAGTGGGATGGCCCAGCACGTGGGGGCTGAGAAAACAGCACTGCATGGAGTGATTTGAGAATCTGTGCCCCCAGGCAAAGATGACAGGTGACTGTTGTGCTCAGCTGCTGTCCTGGTTGGGAAGGAGGCACAAAGCCAAGTAGTGCAGGGAACAGCACACAGGCGGGTGCTGTGGGAGTGGGGACAGATGCAGTGTCCCCATGGGGACAGCATCTCTCTGCTCTTCAGAGGATGGACCTGTAGGAGGAGGGAGTCTCCAGTTGCTGTGGGAGCTGATTCTCTCCTGCAGGCACAGCCCAGCACTTCCCCACCTTCCCAAAAACGCAGCGCTGCTCCTTACTTTGTGTTTGCAGAACAAAAGCAGCCCAGAAGAATTTCAGCCCTGTCAACACTTTCCCAGTGGTATGAGACTTTTTTCTCTCCCGCCTCCCATGCTGAATTATTCATGACCATACGATATTCATCAGCCACCCTTCTCTCCCCCAAACTGCAAAACAAACCCTCAAACAGTAACTCAAGCCCCCTTCCTTCCCATGGCTTGCAAAAAGTTGAGAAATAAGTTTCTTGCTCATGGTTGTTTTTATAGTGAACCTTTGTAGTGAGGTTTAATCACGGAGGCAGATTTCACACTGCCTCAAAACAAACCCATGAACTTCACCCAGCATCAGATTCCTCCTCCAGCTCACGCAGCTCTGATCTGTGAGTCCTGAGCTCGTGGTTCTTGAACACAGGAAGTGTCACAACCAGTCAAACCACAGTCAGAATCAGAGAACCATAGAAGGGTTGGATTGGAAGGGACCTTGAAGACTGTAGAGCCATGCAATGGTTGGATTGGGTTGGAAGGGACCTTGAAGATCATAAGAACCATGGAATGGTTGGGTTGAGTTGGGTTGGGTTGGAAGGGGCCTTAAAGACTGTAGAGCCATGGAATGGTTGGGTTGGATTGGGTTGGAAGGGATCTTGAAGATCATAGAACCATGGAGGGGTTGAGTTGGGTTGGGTTGGAAGGGACCTTAAAGATCATAAAACCACGGAGGGGTTGAGTTGGGTTGAATTGAGTTGGGTTAGAGGAGACCGTAAAGATCGTAGAAGCATAGAATGGCTTGAGTTTGAGTTGGAAGGAGCCTTAAAGGCCATCCAGTTGCATCCCCTTCCATGAGCTGATTGAGCCCACCAGATCAGGCTGCACGCAGAGCCATCCATCCTGCTCTTGAGCACCTCCATTGGTGTTTTTTTTCCACCAGGAAGGCCAACGCTGTGCAGGGAGCCCCAGGAAGCTCAGTGCTGCCCTTTGCAGTAGAGGTGCTGTAGGAAGAAAGGAGGCTGCTGGGCCAGAGGATGGGTTTTGTTTGCTTTGAGTGCAAGCAGGACGTTGGGTGTTGCTATAGGAAGGTGGAAAGGCAAAGTCCTGTATGGTTGTGTAGTCAGTCCCAGAGGATGGGAGGCTTAATTCTGTTGTGTTGTGTGGATGATGGCCATGGCTCCAAACCAGGGTGCAGCATCCTGCTCCTTTTCCTGCTCCCCACTTCTTCCCCACTGGGACTCTCACAGGAATGGATCTTCCTGCAGGGAGAACATCCAATCACAGAACCACAAAACTGTTTGAGTTGGAAGGGACTTTTAAAAGCCATCTCATCCAACTCCCTGCAATGAACAGGGATGTGGACACCTAGAACCCCTGGCTTTGGGAGGGGCTGCTTGGCTGCTGGGTTTACTCCGGGGGGATGGGCAGTGCAGAGAGGTCTGATGTGTGCAATTAGTAACAATTAATGCTTCAGCCCAAGCAGAAGCACGGTGATGCTCGTGGGGTATGGGCACATCTGAGTGATGCAGGTGGTGCAGTCATCCTCAGAGCCAGGGACTTAGCACAGAGAGGCACCTGCAGGACGTGCCATCCTCTCCCAAGCAGAGCACAGATGGGGAACCAATATTTCCACCTCTCACACCCCACAAGAACCTTTCTGACCCCAGAGAGGTCACCTGGCTGCAGGTACAGGGGCTCCTGGGGGCTTTCTCTGGGTGATCAACAGCAGAGCAGGACCTGACCAGTACATGGGAAAGGGAAGAATCACCATGAGCTCTTTCCCTTTGTAGCAGTTTTAATTTAAGATGAATTATTAGCTGGGAATACATGGCTTTCCCCCCCAAGCTTGAGTAAACATACGTTTTAATACATTTCAGTGAGCAGAGGGGGAGAAATGGAAGTTTCCAGTGCCTTTATTTTATTTTTCTGGATTATAAAATATTTTTAAACGCATAAATAAAATGCTCCGTCGCAAAAATGCTGGCGTGGAGTTGGAAGGGTGTTGGTTTTCCAAAGCAAGGCAGGGAATGGAGCTAAACTGAAATACAACCCTTCTGGGTGATCTCTTAAAGGGAAACCAGTTCCAATGGGATTTAAGTGCCTCCTTCCACCCACGCTCTCCTCGCTTGAATATTTATGTTCCAATGGAGTGTGACGCATTCCTCTTTTTTTTGGTCCCTTTTGGTTTTTAATACACATCAATATCGCACAACGCAACGCATCCCATCCCATTGGGTGGAAGTGAGGAGGGCATAGAGATCTCAGATGATGAGGAGTGAAATGGAGTGTCGCAGTGCCAGGGCTGATGGCACAGGGAGGCACAGGCTCTGGTTTTCCTGGCTCACTTGGCTCTCACCTTGAGCTCGGATGTTGGATGTTGGAGTAGATATGGCAGCTTCATGTAATTGTCAGCTGAGCCACTGGGATAACGCATCCAGCTCTAGCATCGATGGGTCCTGAGGGCAAAAACCTGGGGGGTTGCAGAAAAGGTGAATGAAGTACTGTGAGAAGTGAGGAGCTCACACATGGGAGCATCGCTGTCTCTCTTTGGGAAGGAGACCATCACCAAGGATAACCCATGGGATCTCCATTGCTCTGAGATGAGGGTCGCCAGGCTCTGCCCACTTCTGCTAACCAGCCCTTTGTTTTGCCTTGTTTTCCTTTCTGATGTGATTTTTAGGAGCACTTCTGGAGCTTGGACAAGACAGAAAATAAGATTGCACCTCAGCTGATCTTCCAGATCTGGGACAATGACAAGTTCTCCTTCGATGACTATTTGGGTAAGTCAGGAGGGGTTGTTAACAAGGTTGAAGCCTTGTTAACCATACTCAGAAATCCGGGTTTAGGCCAAGCTAAAACAAAACAGAAGCCTGCAGCAGGAAAGATAGCAGAGCCATGCAGTAAATCATCCATGTAGCTGGAAGCTCCGGCATTATGGGATTCTTCTTTTGGTTGGATGTTGATCTACTTTTTCCTTTTACCATCCCAAATAAATGTCCAACACCAGAAGCCTCACTGAGGAACTATGTGATGAAGATACTGGTTTTGATTGATTACAAAGGCTGAGTGCCCAAATAACTCTCACAAGGTGTGCTCTCCAGTTCTAGCTCTGCTCTTCATGAGCTCTTGGTCACCCTCTCCATATCACTGCCAGTGTTGAATTCTTTGCAGCATTATATGCTAAAACCAATGCTAGGCTTAGAAAATGGGGTCACATTGAGCCTATTTGTCCAGGTCAAGGAGGTCAGGAGGTTGCCATGGGCAGCACTTCTTCATGGGAGCAGTCCTTGGGGAAGGACAGGCTGCCCAGGGTGGTGGGCTCACCATCCTTGGAGGTACTCCAGCACTGTGGGGATGGGGCACTGAAGGCTGTGGTCAGGGAAGATGGTGGGATGAGTTGGGATTGGGCTTGGGGATTCTTGAGGTCATCTCCAACCGGAATGGTTCTGTGATTCCGTGAGCTGTTACCCTGAGAGGTCTTCCTACCACATTCCTCCCTGCAGGCTCCATCCAGATGGATCTCAACAGGATGCCCAAGCCTGCCAAGACCGCTGAGAAGTGCTCCTTAGAGCTCATAGATGACAGCTTGTCTGCCAGCCGCTTTGTGTCCCTCTTTGAGCAGAAAACTGTCAAGGGCTGGTGGCCCTGCGTTGCAGAGCAGGATGAGAAGAAGATCCTGGCAGTAAGGCCCTTGGGTGTCCTCTTCATGTTGTCCCTTTGGGGACTCATTGAGCTGGGCATGGCTGGGCTGAGCAAGTGGAGGAACTCGTGGTGTGGCATGAAACCAAGTCTGGGGCTGCAGATTTTACGAGCTAGAGCAGGATTTCCCCCAGGATTTGTTAGGCAGTATGCAAATCACTTGTTTGCTCCAGTAGGTTTTTTTGCTGCTGTTTTTGGAGAACGTGCCAAGTGATTTAACTCTGCATCTCAGCTGTTCTCAGTGCTATTATGACGGGTACAAGGGGTTCCATTGCAGACAGATATATTTAAATGTGAGTCTCTGGGCTCCAGTTTGGGTCAGTGGTGGCCATTTGATAGAGGTGTGAGGCCAAGCTGCAAATTAAGTGATTCAACAAAAACCCTGTAGTCAGTTTTCTGAACGTGGGAGCCAATTTCTGAGATGCTGAGGGGTGTCTGCTGGGAGCAGGCAGGGGGCAGGTGAGGGGTTGGCACGAGATCATGTTCATTGAGCTCCTCATGGTCACTGCAGGTGGTGACTGGGCTGCTTTTCCTTCCCCCAGTCAGTATTTTGCATTGCACGTCCATTTCTCTGCTTTTTGCTTATTATGTGCTTGTTTTTGTTTCACCCATGCAGGGAAAACTGGAAATGACTTTGGAAATTGTGGCTGAACATGAGCATGAAGAGCGGCCAGCTGGAGTGGGTCGGGATGAGCCAAACATGAACCCCAAGCTGGAGGACCCCAAGTAAGGGCATCAGGAATGGGAAAGGAACAATTTAGGGCAGAGGGTTCTCAAGGAGAAGGTTGGAAAGTTGGGTTGATGGTGGGAGGCCTTCCGTGTGGAGATGTGGCACTTGGGGATGTGGTCAGTGGTCGGGGTTGGGGTTGGAAGTGGTGATCTTGGAGGTCTTTTCTGAACTTAATGACTCTATGAATGGGCTTGGTGGTGATGGGTTGGTTGTTGAATTGATTTGGAGGTCTTCTCCAGCCTTAATCACTCTGACTCTGCTAGTGGGCAGGGCGGTGTTGGGTTGGTGGTTGGACTTGGTGATCTTAGAGGTCTTTTCCAACCTTAGTGATTCTATGATTCAGTGATTGTGTTTGCAAGGGGCTGGCTCCATGGGTGAAAGCTGGAAGGCTGGGGTGGAGCTCCAAGGAGCACAGACCACACAGGGGAATGGATTTTCTCTCTTTCAACGGGGCGTGTTCATGGGGTTGGGCATCCAGGAAGGTTGAAAGCACTGTGAAAGTCAGAAGTGACCCCAGCTTTGTCTGCAGGCGCCCAGAGACCTCCTTCCTGTGGTTCACCTCCCCATACAAGACCCTGAAGTACATCCTGTGGCGCCGGTACAAGTGGCTGCTCATCCTGGCCATCGTGCTCGTCATTTTGCTGCTCTTCCTTGGCATCTTCATCTACGCCTTCCCGGTAGGAAGCCTACGAGGGCTTTTGGGATTGGCTGAGGGGTGGGGTGTGCCCCAGGTGTGATGGTCCTTGAAGAATGGCCTGGTGGGCCACAATGGTCCAGAAAAAGAGCACGTGTATCTGCTCTCTGCTCACATCTTTGTGCCTCTGTTTCATCTCTGGAGGTGCCCATGGCGATGGATGGGGCCCTGGGCAGCATAACCCAGCCCATGACTTGGGCTGGGAGTGGATGTGCTTTGTGGTCCTTCCCAACCCAGCCGTTCTATGATCCTGTCGTTGACCCTACGATTGGATGACTCATTGATTCTGTGATTGATTCTGTGATTTATTTCGAGTCTAACGCTGCTGAGGTTCGTTGGTTGTTCCCACAGAGCTTTGATGTTGGAAGTGTTGAGCGTTGGTGGGAAAATCCCTGACAAAAACGCAGCCTAATTAGGGGTACAGCCACATGGCAGGGCTGGGCAGTGGCAAGAAATGTCATTGTTTTAAGGTTCAGGAGGGTTTATAGGGTTTATAGGCAGCCCCTTTTCTCACTGTCGAGGCTTGCAGCATGTTGTACCAACGCAGTGTCTGAAACGAGGTGGGGAGGGTTTTCACCTCGTTAATCAAGGAAGTGGCTTTTTCTTGTTTCACTGTCAGTTCCTCTGGTGAAACAAAACAAAACAAATAAATAATGGAGCCCCATCCTCCCCATTTGGCTCAGGTTGGGGTTTTGCATCCTCCTCTGCTCCTGCAGCACTGCCATAATTCATGCTCTTGGACGCCTTCTCCCTCATGGGCTGATAAGAAAAACAACCCGCCTCTCCTTCCAGCACATAACAAATTCTGCTCCTTGGGTTTGATTTGTGTCCTTGGGAAAGGCTGGGATGCTTCTGCTGGAGAAGTCATTCCCAGCGTGTGAAGTAGTGGGGAAGAGGAAATAACCTTACAAGAACAGATCTGTGCTGTGTTGTCGTCCCAACCCGTCGTGGAGAATCCCCTCCTTGCAGAGCAGCAGAACCCTGAGCAGTTGTGACCCAGGGCTCAGTGTTCCCCCACAGCTGTGAGCAGTTTTGCATTCATTCCAGTGGCATCGGATGAAAACAGCGTTGAGAGAAGCAGAAACTCACAAACTATAACTATTGATTTACACTGGTTATTACTCGGGATTTTTCCCTGTTTCCTGGCTAAATGTTGTTGTATTTAATTTCATTTTGGTCGGGTCCGTTTTTTTAGTCATCTTTTGAAAAGGGAATGGAATTTTTCTGTCTGTGCAGTTGGCCAGCTTCCCCTAGATTTTTGAGGTCACCGGTTCTGTATCGACACGGGGATTCGGTTGCCTTCCCCTCCATCCAACACGAAATCTGGCGGTCGTGCTGGTGCTGGTTTGCTGTGAAGGATGCCCCTGGCGTGCTGAGTGTTGGCAGGGCACACCGTGGCATCCCTGATTAAATGCACTGAAATCCAACCCCTCATTGCTTGCTTTCCTGCCTTGCTTGCCAGGAGCGCTGTCATAGCTCTGCATGCTGGCCATGAAGCTTTGAGGTCCCATACCACAGGTTTTTGGGTGCATTCCATCCCATTGCTCTTCAGAGCTGGTCCTTGGCTAAGCAGGAATAGGACGAGAGGTGATGGCCTCATGTTGTGCCAGGGCAGGGTGAGGTTGGATATTAGGAGATGTTTATTCTCCAAAAGAGTGGCAGTGCACTGGCACAGCTGCCCAGGGAGTGCAGGGGTCACCATCCCTGGAGGTGTCTGAGGACCATGGAGATGTGGCACTGAGGGCTGTGGGCAGTGGGCATGGTGGGATGGGTTGGGCTTGGGGATCGTAGAGCTCTCCTCCAACCACGATTCTGTGAGTGGCCATGGTGGGGATTGGTTGGCACTTGAACTGATGGTCTTGGAGGTGCTCTCCAACCACAACGGTTCTATGATGCCACGATTCAATGAATCACGATTCAGTGGATCAATGGATGCATGTCCACAACGTGCCCTAGGAGTGAGCAGAGCCAGGGCTGCGTGGGTCACCTCCCACCCTGAAGAGCTGGGAGTCTCACCTGGAAATGAACCTGGGGCATTTTGTTGGCTTTTGGTATAAGAATATAAAGTTTAAAAGCTTTTTTTTTCGTATTTTTTTCTCATTGCCCATATAATGGTGGAAGCTTCCAACCACAGCCCCAGCTGCGTGGTGACAGCCCTGTGCTTCCAGCTGGAGCCACAAACCCAGCAGCAACCTCCAGAAATGGTGGTTCCCAAAAACTCCAGCTCCTTTTTGGTGGATAAACACGAGCTGATACCTCAGTGCTCTTCAGAACAATTATTCAGGAAAAAAAAGGATCGTCTGGATCTACCAAAATGGGAAAAACATTGAAAATCTGATCTTTTGAGGTTCTTCATCTCTTCCTGGGGGCTTTTCCACCCCGCCTCAGCGCTGGGCTCCTCAGCAGCTTTCCTTAGCTGTGCTCATGGAGCAGTTGCAGAGCAGGGCATTGCAGTGAGGGTTTCATTGGTACCACCACGGGAGGAGGAAGCGCTGCTTCCAGCTGCACTCAGCTCTGCTTTGCAGCACCGTGGAAATGTTTACTACCTTTTAAAGCTCTGTTTGCGTTCTGAGAGCCCAGCGTTGCTTCCACTGCCATTAATTCTAATTACAGCTCGCTTTCTGCGCTGATTGATAATCCTGCTTGGCTTTCAACACTTGGTTAATACAAATTCGTGGCTGGACAGCAAACTCGCGACCCTCCGGAACGCAACCGTAAAAAATAGAAGAGTTTTGGAGGACAGACTCTTGAAAGACAAATGGATGGATAATTAATTCGAAGGTTATGTCCCACTGGAGGCTTTTCTAATGACTTCTGGTAAACTGCCCTAACGTTGCTGGCCTGATTTATGGCATTATTAGAAATCCTCCGCTGGCAAATTGCCCCGTAATTTGCTACACGTCGTAATTTATTGTGATGCTTTTGGGCTGGGCTTTACTTGTCTTGTTTTTGTTTTTTCCCCTCCTCCAAAGCAGCATTATGCTTTGTTTCCAAAGTCTTTTTTTTTTTTTTTTTTTAATTTTTATTTTTATTTTTTTCCAAACGAGTGATAGAACATCCTGTACCAATTAAATCCAATCTGTTTGGGAGAGCCTTCCAAACTGGCTAGTATGTGGTCACGGGTGTTTGAAGCAGAGCTACTTTAAATAGAGCTCTTTCCAACCGGCCTGTCTTTGCCTGCTTTTGCACTGTGGTCTTGATAAGCAGCATTGACACAGCTTATTCTTTTTTACAGGGTTGTTGTCTTCTTTCAAGGAAGGAATTGCATGTAGAATAGGCTGCAGGGCTGTGGGGGAGTGTGGAGATGTGGCTCTTGGGGACGTGGTTTAATGGGGATGGGTCGTTGGCTGGAGCTGATGATTGTAGAGGTCTTCTCCAACCATATTGGGTCTGTGACTCTACGAGGGGGCATGGTGATGAGTTGGGGTTGGGCTGAATGATCAGAGAACCATAAAATGGCTTGGGTTGGATGGGACCCCAAGGATCATCAAGTTCCAACCCCATAACCGCAGGCAGGGCTGCCAGTCTCCAGGTCTGGCACTACACCAGGTTGCCCAGGGCCCCATCCAACCTGGCCTTGAGCACCTCCACCACTCTCTGTAAAGAACTTCCCCCTGACATCCAATCTAAACCCCTACAGAGGTCTTCTCCAACAGGAAGGGCTGCCCAGGGAGCTCTGGGTGCCACGTCCCTGGAGGTTCCCAAAGGCCATGGATGGGGCCCTGGGCAGCCTGAGCTGCTGGAGGATGCCAGGGCTTGGACTTAATGATCTTCAGGACCCTTCCAACCCAAACCATTTGTGATTCTTAAAAACTGGTGGAAGGGACAATCCAAGCCCATGAGTGACTCTTGGTGCTCACTGCTGGGAAGCCTCTACTGGAAGAAGGCAAAACCCCTTCCCATGTGTCCTGAGCATCCCATAGGAGGGATGCTCTTGCTTTGACCTCCTCCTGCCGCCATGCCCCAACTCACCACTTCTCTGCCTTCTTTCTCCTTCCCTCCAGAACTACGCTGCTATGAAGCTGGTGAAACCTTTCAACTGAATGCCTGGATTTCAGCAGGACGCTGCAGCCCAGGACGCAGCGACGTGCCTTTCCCCAAAGCAGCGTGCCACCTGCAGCCCTCACCTCAGGAGCAGCGCCTAAACCAAACCTCCTCTGCAGCAGTTCTGATTTGGCTTCCTTGTCCTCCTTCTGTTTGTCTTAATTTTTGGTCAGTGCTCGGATGCAAAGCTGGAGAGGGTTGGGGAGAAAAGGACCTTTTTGTGGGCTGTCCAAGGCGGTGCTCATGGAGGAGTGATGGCTGCAAGGCAGCCACAATCTCTCAGGTCCTGAGCAGGTTTTTCTTGGCACCTTGCAGCAGCCTCCCTTTGCCTCTGCCGTGCGATGTGCATTCATGCATTCCTGCTTTTGGAACCTGTTCTCCCTCCTCTGCACTCCCACGTGCCCCACTGCCTTCCCAGCCAACGCTGCTGCAGCAGCAGAGGGCACGGAGCAGCCCAGAAGCAATGCAGTGCAATGGGGGCTTTGCTTCTCTCTTCCTGCTGTGCGCAACCCCTGCAGCTCTGTGGCTGATTGGTTTTCTCCTTTTGCTGAAGCCAAGCAGTGCAGCACCAGAGCGCAGTGCACGCTGCTGCTGGGTGCTACAGGGCAGACCTTCAGAAGCACAGCTGTTTGCTTTGTGCTTTGCAAGAAGGGCATGATTAGTGCACATCATGCAGGTTTTGCACAGCCCAGAAGGTGTGAATGGTGTTGCTGGGACATTGCTGCTTTCTGCTCCTCCTGCCCGTGCTGCAATCACTGATGTGCACTGAGAGGGGGTTCTGCTGCTGCTCAGTGTGACACGTGGGAGCAGACAGCAGAACAAGGTGATCCCAGAGGATTTGTTTCTCAGGACAAACTGTGCTGGCGTTGGCTCCAGCGAGGCACTTAAGCCTGTTCTTAGCAGCAGATGGGGGGGAAAAGCACGTGGCTAATTGCTTTGCTGGCGGGGATGTAATGCAAATCCTGTGCTGCTCAGTACTGTGACAGTGCCTGGATCGCACAGGGCAGCTCTGCCACGTGTGAGCACAACACTTCAGACACAGAGAATGTATCCCAAAGCAGCTGGCACTCAGGTGTGGAGGTTCCCCACCCCAGGAACCATTTTGCCAGCAAAACGCTTCATGTTTACCCATGTTCACCTTTTTTCTGGATCTCGTTCCCACCCGTGCTCCTGTTCATTACCTAGTGCTGACCTACCAACTGTTGGCCCAAGATTTGGGGATGCTGCTTCCCCTGAGGAACAGGCGAGCTGAAGGGGAATGTTGGCTTTGCAGCTTCCTGGGTGAGTTACAGCTTGGCCAAGTGGTGCTGCTGTGGTTGGTCCTCCTCCACTGCAACCCGGCTCGCCTCGCTGCCTTCCCACATGCCTTGCTGTGCCGTGGGAAGCCAGGCCCCTTTCCTCATTTCTTGCCCCAGTTTGCACATTTGGTGAAGTTTCCCATCTCAGTGACCCCCTCCTGTTTAAGAAATGGGATCTCAGTGCTGAGCCCCAAGGAGATGAGCAGCCCAGAGCAGTGCTCCCGTCCAGCCGTGGATGGTTCTCATCCATCCATCCTGTTGCTCCGACCAGAGATGAGCAACCCTACCAAAATAATTCCACCCGTCACTTCTCCAGAGCCTCTGCCATCACAAAACCCTATTTAATTCCCTAATGCTTTCCAGCAGCTCTTCCCTGGCAAACCAGAGTGGGTTAACAGTGATGGAAGGGGAAAAGGCAGCATCCCTACATCCAGTCCTCTTCTTCCCAATCCGGGCTGCAGAGCTTTGTTTCATCCGGGGGCTGTGGTGGGCAATGACAGTTCTGAGCATCTGCAAACATCAGCCTGGTCTCGTTACCAAAGCCAGCCAAGAGGCCGGACCCAAGTAAAGCCTTCTGCTCTCTATGCCTTATATACAGAGATAATTATATATATATCACTGTGGTTTACAAATGAAATAGCTCTGAAACCTTCTGCTTCCTGGTGTGTTCTGTTGGGCTGTCGGAGTGTTGGTCCCCACTGTGCCAAGGTGATGCTCCGGGTGGGAGGGAGCCAGGGGAGCATTAGTGTCTGTGTCCCAAGTGCCTTTCTTTTCCCTGAAAGGGTGCAGAGAAGAATATAGAACAGAATCAGGATAGGATGGGATGGGATGGGATGGGATGGGATAGAAGAGAAATAGCATAGCGTAGGATAGGATAGAATTAGAATAGGATAGAATTGGGCAGGATAGAATAGAATGGGATTGGATAGAATAGAATTACAGTAGGATTGAATAGAACAGAACGGAATTGGAATAGGATAGGATAGAACAGAATAGAAGAGAATTAGGATAGGATAGAACAAAATGGAATTAGTATAGGATGGGATGGGATGGGATGGGATGGGATGGGATGGGATGGGATGGGATGGGATGGGATGGGATAGGATAGGATAGGATAGGATAGGATAGGATAGGATAGGATAGGATAGGATAGGATAGGATAGGATAGAATTAGAATGGGATAGGATAGGATAGAAGCTGATGCACCCATGGTGCCAGCTGTCTGGGCATCATCTCCATAAGGTCTCCAGCACCTGCTGTGCTCCTACCCTCAGGGTCCTGTGCCCAACAGATTGGTCCATCCATCTGCCTCTCACCGTGGTGAAGCTCAGGGCTCTCCTCTCCTTGTATTTGCTCCCAGATCCCCAATGTCTGCGTGCTTTCTGCCCACCCTTTGGACTACAGCAGTGGTACAAAGAGATGGGATGAACCATGCCGGTCCACATCTCAACTGCATCCACCCAGGCTGCAAGCAAGAGCCTGACTTGCTCCAAATTTTGTCTTCCCACAGCAGAGTGCTCTGGTTTTCAGGCTCAGGCAATATTTTAGCAAGAGCCTGAAGGCTGGGATTGTGGGCAGGGGTTGAACCTGGTCTGAAGTAGAGGGACTTCCACAGAGGAGAGATGCCCATCCCTGGAGGTGCTCAGGGCCAGGGTGGATGGAGCTCTGCCCCATCCTCTCCTCCGTTTCCTCCTGTGGTTTCCCACCAGTTGGCATCCAGACCTCCTCCAAAGGTGCCATCTCATGAGGAGTGGGGAATTATTGCCCTGCAGATCAGGAAAGCCCAGCTCTGGCTGAGTTTTCCTTCCTCCCTCTTTGTTCTTTTTTTCATGGAATAAATCCACCTGCTCTCCTACCTCCTGGCAGTGGGATCTGGGTGGTTTCTCTGGAAAGAGCATCGTTCCATGTTTGTGACAAGCTGGCACTGAGCTGGACCACGGGGCTGCAGCTCCTTCCTCCCATTTCAGCCCCTGGAGCAGACAAAAGAAAGACAAATAGGAACCATTGGATATGGAAAAGGGGGGGAAAAGAAAACAACCTTGAACAATCAGGAGATTTATGGCTGGCTTTTTTTTTTTTTTTTTTTTTTGGCCAAGGAAAACACAGTGGGAAGTCATCTGCTCGCAATGGCCGTAGGCTGGAAAACAAAGCCTGGATTGATTGTCTTTCCCCATAGCACACAGAGAACCACTGGCACCTGCCAGGATGAGTCACTGGGAGGGGAAGGACATCCGTGTGGCTCTGCCATCCACCTCTTCTGTGCTGGATGTTGGTGGAGATGCCTCTGAGCCCAGCTCTGCTGGAACCTTCCCAGTGCAACCAACTCCATCTCCCAGGGGCCACGAGCAACTGGGGGTCGGGATCCTCATAACCACTGGTTGGTTTTGGGTTTTGGAGGAGAAAAGAAAAAAAAAGGAAGAAAAAACAAAGGCTGTTTTTTCTTTCTTTCTTTCCTAACTGTCTGAGCCAATGGGGATTCGAAATTCCGGGATTTTCTTTGCAATACAAATGCTAAAAGCACATGTTTTTTTTTTAATGCACATTTTCATATCTCCTTCGACTCCAGAAACACCAGAAAATGGAAAGCAACAGAGACAACTGCTATCATCTTTCTCACGTCTTGTACACAGGAAACCACACAGTAATGTGGGAGACCTTGACTGATGCCCAAATTGCTCCAAAGGAATGAGACCTCAGAGGGGTCACCCCCTCATTGCTCTCTCCCCTCCCCTTCTCAGCCATATGGACTTGGCCATCCAGCCCATCCCAGCAACTTCAGCCTTGCCAGAACTGCAGGGAAGGGACTGGAATGGGGACCTGGAGCAAACGCAGGGATCTGGTAAAAGGTTTCCAGAAGAATGGGGACTCCTTATAGGAAGGGGGTGGAAGGCCAAGGCTTGCTGAGCCTTTTGAGAAGGAAAGCGTTTGTTTTATCAGTGAAGAAGTGAAGTTTGTGAAGAATTTAAGCTTGGATTCGGATGGTTGGGATCTCCATTGATGAGAGAAGTTCATTTTCTCCTTGCCTTTATTGTAACACTGGGAGAATTCCATGTTACCACACCGGGCTCTTCTGGCCCAAGTGGAGCCAGGTGACCATGGGCATTGCACTGGGGAAGCTACAAATCCTTTGGTCCCAGTCCTATCCAGTCCCACCCTGCCGATGAGAAGCAGAGACCAGAGAGGTTCTGTAGTGGGAAATCCATTTCTGGTTGGTGCATGAGATATGCCAGGCCTGCTTGTCATGGAAGCACTGGAAATCATCGAATGCTGCTTTTCAGCAACGAGCTTTAAAACTTGCTATTCATTTGTGTGTATGGTGAGCTGTGCCATGAATGCACCAGAAGAAATAAAAGCAAAGACATAAAATCTAGTGGGTTGCAGAATGGAAAAACATCAAGCTATTAAACACATCTTCCTTTCTGCATCCCAATCACAGAAAGCCCCTTAGCAGGTAGCTCTGCTTCTCCGGTGCTTTGAGATAACGGAGTATCCAGAATTTGGGGCTGATACATCAATAATTTGTGCAGGATGAGATGAGCTTTTTAGCTTTGGAAAGCACTGCTTAGAGGAGGGCTGGTGGTAGACTTATCATCCAAGCTTGTCAACTGTGAGACCTCAACACAGAGCTTAAAAGGGATGAGTAGAGTAGGATAGAATGGAATGGAATGGAATGGAATGGAATGGAATGGAATAGAATAGAATAGAATAGAATAGAATAGAATAGAATAGAATAGAATAGAATAGAATAGAATAGTTCAGTTGGAAGGGACTCACAAAGATCATCAGGTGATCATTTGATCCAGAAGTTCTGGCAGGAATTTGGGAGGTTACTGGTAGAAAACCCAACCCTTTCTGGTTTAAATTGGAACAAGAAAAGGTCGTGTCTGGTGGTTCTGTGAATGCTTGGAGAGGGAGTGGGAGAAGGTTGGAAAAACCCCCAAAAGTGGGTTGGAAAGAGGCAGAAAGGATGTGTGAGTCTCACAGCCCATGTCACGAGCCATGATGAGCTCATGGCAAGTCAGAGTTGGCCTGGAGAGTGCCTTATCATAAGGCAGAGGTTGGTGTGGTTTCATGAAGGTCTCCCTCAGCTGATGGGTCATGAGCTTTCGGAGATTCCCAAAGTCTGGATGAGTGGGACTTTCCCTGCAGTTTGATCAGTTTGTGCCCCAGTGATGATCCCTGAGCTGCTCGAGTGAGCAGGAAAATCTCTGCAAATCAGATCCGTGAGGAACATCAGTGCTGGGATGTGAGATTTTTTTAGTGGTGGCTTTTAGCCAACCATCTGCCCTTCACATCCAGGTCAGGGTGTCCTGTCCCTTTTCCCTGAGCATAATGGGGCAGGAGAGCATGGGATTCTATGACTCCACAACCCTATGAGTCAGCATGGTGGGGATGGGTTGCACTTGACGGTCTTCAAGGTCTTTTCCAACATTAATCTGTGATTCTATCTTGCTTACTTCACACCTTCCTACCAAAACACCCATTGAAACCAAGGGAAAGCCTGCTCCGTCCTGGCTGCAAGACTACAGGAGCAAGGAGCCGAGGACAGAGATGGGAAAGGGAAGTTTGTCACAGATAGAGTTAAACAGTTAAGAGCTTCCCCTCACCCCCATCTCCTCACCAGATCGTTCCAGCACAGTAAATCTCCCAAACCTTGACAGCAGAAGGGCTGCCAACTTGGACAGAAGACCAATGGCCACGACCGGAGTGCAGTCGCTCTGGCAGGGAAGTTGGGGTAACGGAGCCAGCCCTGGCTTTGGACAAACACTGTGCCAAGTTAACGCACGCGTGAAGCTCTGTGCGTGTGTGCGAGGTGTGTGAGGTCGTGGTGCTGCTGATTGCCAGCACTGTTGGCACACGGATCTCTGGGGGAGGGCTGGGGGGCAAACCCTGGTGTGTTTTACAGTGCAAATTAAAAAAATAACTCTCCTTCCCCTTCCCCTTCCCCTTTCCCTTTCCCTTCCCCTTCCCCTTCCCCTTTCCCTTCCCCTTCCCCTTCCCCTTCCCCTTCCCCTTCCCCTTCCCCGATCTGAAATTTCCTACAAGATATTTTAAGAAACCCTTAGGTTTTTTAAAACCCTTAGATTTCAGGGGGGAAAAAAAAAAAAAAAAAAAGCAAATAATCTTTCTTGAGAATGAAAGAAAACATTTCATTTCTGGTAGAATTAATTTTAAATATATATATATATATATTTTTTTTTTAAAGAATCTCTGGTGAACTGGAAAATTCATTACTTGTTCTCCTTGCCTTGTTGGCCCTATGGAAAAACACAGCCCAGGGACATGAAACCATTCATCCCACCGCTGTCAGGCTCACATTGCCCACATGGTAGTTAAATTGGCAAGGACACACATTGTGATCCTCATCTGCTGGGCTTGGGACGAGCCTTGCCCTGCTTGGAGCAACCAACCATCTCTCCAAGGTCAGCTGGTGTCATCTGAAAGGTGGTGGGCTTCATCTCTTCTCCCCTCTTTATTTAATAGAGATGATAAAAAAAAAAAAAAAAAAAGGGATCTGGAGATGCATTTTAAACCTGTTAATCATTTCCATCCTGCTCTCTCATTTGGAATAAACATCACCATCGATGGGTTGGTGGTGGACCTTCCAACATCCAGCTGACCCCATTGGGCAGCACGTTCCTCACCTCCTCCA